ACAGCCTATATATAGTCGATGTGGTTGATATTTCGTTGGCTTTTGGAATTTTGTATGTCATTCAAGAAGGAGATCCGTGTTCAAACCATTACCCTTGTACAAGTAGAAAGGATAAGCTCGGTATGAACTTGGGTTATCCGAAATTCTCACGTCTACTTCATACGCTTTTAGTCCAGTAATGCAGGCGATCAACAGAATGGGTAAAGTCCATGGACTAGCAAGAGCCATGCTCTTGGACTGACTGTGTGCTTTTCACAATATTTGCTGATAAGTCTAAATTTCTCGTTTCCTCCCTTGAGTCGGGTAGCGTGTCTTCGTCAACCAGTAAGCCACTCAACTAAAAGGTCTCCAGACAACCATCGGAGCGTACTGGGAATGGTAGTGCAATACCATGCTCGGTAGTGTCCTATTACCGGATAAAGAAAGGCAGCGCAGATACTAGCGAGGATGTGCGTGGCTTCTCAGGTTTTTTAATATTAGTTGCTTACTGGGACTACAGCCATTCTATTTTCGTGCAGGATCCGGTCCAGCCTACCCTTCTGGACGCAGCCTCAAAATACGACCAGCCCCTAACCAAAAGAAACTTTAACTCAGAGAGCCATAGGTGGCCAAGCCCTATTGACCCGTTCCTATCGACCGAAATCCACGGCAGTCTGGCGTGGATTAAGTATTTGCATTAGAAGGTTCGCTTGGGAACAAGTTTGTGTCGTCGTCTGTGATTTAGAGTCTCCCCTAGAGCATATAAAGACTCTATCAAAATCAGATATCCTCATTGAACTAACCAAGCTTAACAATTCAACCTTGGTGTTTGAGAATTGCTTCGTGCTAGTGACTGTATAGGGCAAATCTCTCAAAGATGGGGAACTATGGCGAAGTCAGGGCATATGGCTGTCTAATCACTTGAAGGGACGAAATGGACGTCCGATATCTTCAACAAAGATTTTCCGTCTCTTAGTTGAGGCGAAGACGCGATGAGTTTGAGTTAGGATCGAATTGGGCGTGACGGACACCTGAAAAACCTACGCCTGGGCAGATTGTCCCTTAACCGCAGCCTGAGTGGTTATTGACTTGAACAGGTCAACCGCAAGCTGATCCCAAAAGGCTATATACTAGTTGTCATGGGCGGCGTCGTCATGCTAAGCCATCTGTATTATATGTAGCGTTTCTTCTTTAGCAAAGTAACGTTACTTTTGACAAAATGCAACGGATGTTTTTGACTTTTATGAGAGCTGTCTCTGGTGTTTATTCGGACTTTTCTCTATCCACTCCACTCGAATGCATTGCTAATAACATGGTATCAATATCCGAATCAATTATGGTAAACCCTTAACCGTAAACCCAGCCCAAATGGTATCGCAGACATTCAGTCTATAACAGAAAGAAACGAGAATAGAACATGTTCAAAGGAAACCTAAGAAGAGAAGTGAGGGGCGTTGAGGAACAGCCCCATCAGGACACCACCAAGGGTACCAGCAATGGGAATGGTCATAATCCAGGCCAGCAGCAACAGACCCACACGCTGGAAGTTGACGGCCTTGAGGGTACCGTTGCAGAGACCGACGCCGACGGTGGCGCCGGTGATGCACATCGAGGTCGAGACGGGGAGAGAGTACTGCGAGAAGACCAAGACGGTGATGGCGGCGCCCATTTCCATCGAGCAACCGCGGCTGGGGGAGTGGTAGGTGATCTTGTTACCCATGACTATTGCTCAGTTAGTTCTGTGTCTCGATTGTGGCATACAGACGGTGCACATACCCTTCATGATGTTGTAGCCGTAAGTGATGAGACCAATAGAGATACATCCGGAGAGAACGGCAAGCTGCCAGACAGGCACAGGGGCCTTGGAGGCAGCCGCATTACCCGTCTTCCAGGCGGAGTAGATAACGGCCCAGGGGCCGACCGAGTTACCGATATCGTTGGCGCCGTGAGCAAAGGAAGCAGTACAAGCGGTCAGGACCTGTACAAACGAATAAGTGTGCTCGACCTCGTTGGGGTACTTTTCGGCGTGAGCGTAAACACGCTGCATCCGTTCTCCCTCGGGAGTACCATGGATACCGGACTGGGCAGCGTGGATGTCGTAGTGCAGGCCGTACAGCAAGCCGGCAGTGATGATGGCGGGGATACGCTTCAGGAGGATCTTCATGTTCTTCAGTTCGTAGATCTCGCCGGCGCCCATCGGGTTGTCGCGGAGGGTGCGCATCGCCCATCCAAGGGGTCCGCGCTTCTTGAGCAGACGAGCGTTCAGGCGCTTGTTGGATTCCTCCATGATTTCCTTGTAGGTGAGCTGCTTGGCCTCGCTGGTGACAAGGCGCTTCTCATTGGGGGAGATGGCAGGCGAGGTAATGGGTTCGATCTCAGTCTTGGGGTTCGTGCTGTCAAACTCGGAAAGGGTCTGCTCGGAAGGAGCGGGGGATGCCTGGGCAGCGTCCTCCTCGTGGTCCTCCTCGTCCTGGACGACGGCGTAGTTGGGGACTTTGGCACGGTCGGCCCCCTGAGGAGCGGGACGCTTGAACAGCAGAGGACCGAGGATAAACATCCACCACTTGACGCCGTGATCCCGCTTGATTACACGGGCGTGTACAAACGGGACGAAGAAGATGGCGGAGAGAATAGCAACACCACCACCGCAACCCAGGGTCACAGCGGCAATATACCAGCCGGGCTTCTTGCTCAGACCGAGACTGGGCGAACCTTTGTAGACAATGGACAGGGTACAGACCGTGGCGGCGATGAGGAACCAGAAGGGAGAGCTGTAGACGGCCCATGGCACGGGGTTCTTGCGCATGTGGACAATGAGCTTGATCAGCATGAAGATAATAGCACCGAAAGCGGCCGAGATGGCGGGAGCCATGCCCAGGCCTGCGAAGATAGCTCCCAGTCCCTTTCCGTGGTTCCATCCCCATTGTACCTTGGAAGCACCGACGGTCGCAACACCGACACCAGCAACGGCAGAGATGAGGGAGTAGGTCGACGAGACGTGGGCCGAGTGCTTGGTGCACCACATAACCCAGGAGGAAGCAGCGGCGAGGGCACAGGTAAAGGCAAGCATCTGCACACCGGCATCACCGCGGAAGGCCGAGTTGGGGATGATACCGTTCTTGATGGTGTCAGCCGTCCGAGCGCCGACCGTGATGGCACCGAGCATCTCGAACACGGTGCCGAAGATCATGGCTTGTCGGTAGGTAACCGATCTGGAGGAAACACTGGTAGCCCAGGAGTTGGCCACATCATCTTTCAGACAGGTAATGTCAGCAAATCGTCTAAAGAGCAGGTTAAAGAGACATTAACATACTTGCACCATTGTTGTAGGCATCCAGCATGGCAAACAGAGTGCCAATGGCAAAGACGTAGTCATACTGGCTGAGCACCATCTTGACTGTATGTGTAGAGTGAGGCAAGTTGTTGAGGTCTTGATCCTGAATAGACTCAGACAGCGAGCCACGGGGCTTTTATGCTGCTATGCATTGTATCGCTACCTCACGCGACATTTTCTTCCAACACCTAGAACCATGCGCTTGAGACGCCCGCTAGTGCAGCTGCAGGTGCGTTCGCATAGATCGTGGCAAGGAATCATGCCCGGTTCGTATACTCGACCTGACACGTTCCTCCGCGCCTCTGTCTGATTCGCACTCCGGGGAAAATGGGCTTCTCACAAGCGGCTTGGTATTGCCCCCCATCACAGGGGGCGTCGAGGTCGGGATTTGGGGGCCCACCCGTGGTTGGCAGGAGAAAACCACTCAATTGACATCAGCAGGCAACCAGCCCAAGGCACGTTTCGCCTATCTTCGCCTGCTTGTCTGGGAGCGAAGCAAGAGCGAAGCAACTCAGCAAGATTGCAAGACTGACCATGTTCTTGGCAATCCAGCCAAATCCGAGCGGGAAGAGGGTCGAGTGAGGCAAAGGAAGACGCGGATTGGCTGGCTAGTGCTCTTGGCGCGGTCTCGGCTGGCCTTGGCGGTCCTTGGCGGGATTTACCCCATCAACCTATCAAATGCGGAGACTCCTCCACGTGTGCTCCCTCATGTCAACTGCGCAAATATGGCCGAGAGCATCGAACCCTTCTGAAAATATGCAATTATCTGCCCATGGCGCGTCTGGCGCTGCAAGAAGACACTAGCTATTGCTGAAATTTTCCCCGTGCTGGCAAGGACACGTGCTCAGCTGCCCCCTGTCATTTGGCTTCACTTGACCACTTTCCACAGCCAGGCTAGGCCATCATAGAGGTCTGCATGTTCCCGAAAACCCTTTGGCTCCTTCCAATAAGGCAATCAGAGGAAGCACCATGATCCATGACCCGGGTCTGGGCAGATGCAGCTGGAGTTGGACCCGAGTATCAGAACTTACTTCATTTTCTCGTCTTTGCTCCAACCGACTTCCCTCAGTCAATGCGATCAACACTCGTATTGGCTGTGGTCATCCCAGAGCGTAATAGGTGATCGGGCAAATCTGCGGACACTGGTGGCGTTACATTCTTCCGCAGCTCGGAGCTAATCGTCGTTCCTGATTATATCGGCTAGAATAGTGAACACTGCTTCGGATTGTTGTGCTGAATTAGGTTCAGACTCCATCGGTGGCGGTCGAATGATAGTTGAGCATGTAGCCACGCTGAGGCAAATGCGTTGTGAATCACCTACGTAGCTATGTAAGTCTCTGATCCCGTTCCTGCACCAGATCCTGGACCCAGTCCAGACTGCAGGGCTTCAGAGCCTGTGTTTATACTAAGAGCTGCTAAAGAAATTGTCTTACTCATTAATCTCTGTCTAGGTTGTCCATATTTCGAGTTTGCTAAGGAAGGTGATATTAAATCCTAGTTAGTGATCTCTCTGTACTACGCAATTACTCACATATATAGGATAGGAATTTAACTATTATGGGCAAACAGATTTACAGAACCCTAGGTCTAGTTAATATACATAACTAAGGCTATCCTAACCTTGACACTGGCACACTGCTTTACTAGATCCTATTATAGATTAAGGCTCCTTCCAGTATACAACAGAGCTTTATATACAGAATTTACTCTATTTAAAAGTGAATTAGCATAGCAAGAGTGCTCTCTAGAGGAGATTACCACACTCCACTAGTTCAGCACTTTAAATGGAAATAAGTAGTGATGAGTCATAGAGGACTGTGGGATAAGATACCTAACTTATCCCTCACGGTGATGTAAACTATTGTAGGGTTGAGAATATTTGAGTCCTCAAATACTGAGGCACGCACCGAGTGGAAAGAGTTGCTTCATGCTTGTTTGATGGGTTCGTCTGCTTTACAGTGGTGGCTCCTTATAATGAGTGTTAAATGAGCATTGCTTAATGAGATATTCCTGGAAGTGGTAGGGTATATATTTCGCTTCGGCACTAGCATGCCTACATAGGGCTGGAATAACTCATATAGATTTACAGTCCTTGAATAGTATTTTTAATGCAGATGGGAGTGCTTTGCTTATCAATATTAGTAGCATTAGCAGGATCATACATAATTAGCGTGCGCATGGGATTCTTACCACCTCACACTCTCCCATTCGATGTACCTCAGCTCAATGATGATAGGCTTATAGAAAGCTTCTTTTGGAAATTATATCACAGATAGAAGTTACCCTCTTCAAATATCACCAGCTGTTTGGCAAAGGAAACCCTGAGTCATGCATGTCTGTCTGAGTGCAAGATGTGTTAGTTGGAAGGCTAGACGTGAAATGCAAGTTATACTGCTACGCATATATATACTAATAAGCTCGCCATCCTTAAACGTAGATTTTATAGAGGGTAGGTGCCTTAAGAAGTGATTAGGAAAAAGTCAAATTGATACAAACTCTTAGGGGCATTCTCTAAAGAGGTATGCTGAGAGAAGTGCCATCATATTTATACTCCATATCAGTATATTACCCAGATTGTCCAGTATAATTAGAAATCACTCTCCAAGGAAAGACGACCTGATTTAAGATTAGCTATGTTTATTTCTTAATATCAAGTGGTAGCTATCTCAATCAAATAACCTGGAGTAGTCCCACCCGACATCTGATCACCGGGTATCAGTCTAGAATTCTTCTGCTAGTTATACCCACAACTTGATAGCCATTGTTTGTACAAAGATCCATGCTGTTACATTTCCGACCGGATATCATAATCCAAGCCTTTTACTTCCTCTGATATGTTGCCCGCATTTCACGTTAAGAACTTCAAGACCTAAATTTTCCTTTGACCCTAATGTTCTTCTCGCTGAAACCCTCGCGTATATACTCTCCTTCCAATAAGGATTTAGCAACCAGTAGAAATAGTTCTAGTCCACTAAGAACCGAATAAGTAGCCTGGCAAGGGTTCAGGGCTGTATACGGAGGGGCGAAAGGCTCATTCTCAGACCACAGAAAGTTCATTCCGAGGAAAATTAAAGCTATAGGTTAGGTCCCCTCGCCATGGGTCTGATCATTTAGTGAACATACTTTGTCACTGGCTCTCCAGCCCTCTCTTGATGCTGAGTGCGATCGGCGTCCAATGTCGCTGCCCGTACCATTTCCTCAACAGCTCCAATGCTCGTCCTCGCGGAAGGATCTTCGCCAAGTCCCTGCCTTCTTCTGCTGGCGGTTCTAGGATCAGCGGATGGCTGGGTTGACAGGCGCGCAATATTTGAATAATGTCTGTCCAATTGTGGGACTCCGCAAAGGCGAACAATCGCTGTCCTCGTACGGTAGAGTCGCAGGCGGCAATAGCGAATAAGCGGGCCACATCTTCCACATCGACAAACCATTCTAAGCCACGGTTAACTGGAAACGACGCTCTAGTGTCGTCAGATACACACATACTCGGAGGCACAAGAAGTAATGGCTGCTTTTCTCCTTTCAGGAGGCCGCGGACCCAGCCCATCGTGGAGCCACCGATTTGTCTATGAATGATCTTCCCTACCTACTAAAATTAGTCACGTAGCCCGTTACGGGGAGAGAGGCACGGTTTTTACCGTAAAGGCTGCCAGGACGGCGTTAAACTCAAACGATGGTTTATTCTTTGTGATCCAATTCCAGGCCTGTCGTTCCATCTCCGTTTTGCATGCGGAGTAAATGGCGAGCCTCTTTTTCCATTGAGAATCAACTGTCGTTGATAGCTGGGCTGGAAGAGCATCCCAAGCCTCTCGAACCGCGCGGTCATTCCAGGTGTCTAAACGGTCAGACTTCGAATCACTTGATTGTGTGCAACAATTTGTATCTGCCAATTACCTGCCGTAATGATCACCCCTTCCTTGTCGGGAATGGGGGTATAGGCTGCCATGGACGACGATGCTAAAACTACCCGTGTGATGGATGGCTTCGTCGCCGCTGCTTCCAGCACATTTGTAACTAGTTTAACTGAAGGCAGAATCACCCCCGGGTTGTCTGTTACGACGATATTTCCGGACTGATTACACCTGTTAATGACACAGGCGCTGGGCACGAAGATCTCTGAATGAGAGACCTAGAATATACGCACCAGATGTATGATCGCTTCTACCCCTTCCAGTATGTCACAATTTTTGCCAACATTATCATAGCTGTGCAATATGGCGGAAGTATATCTGTTTTGGCCGTAGCGATCATTGAAAATCTTATCGAGCCAGGGTTTCGGCTCGCGAACAGTGCCCTTCACGCGATATCCCAGCTTGAGCAATTCGTTTGCTACATGGCTCGCAATATAGCCATTGGCGCCGGTGACCAGTACCCTCGAGTCAGATTTTAATGCAAACGTGTCTTTTGCCTTTCTAATGGGGCGTAGGCTTCGTACCCCCATCATATGTGGTAACTGCAGAGATATCTTATAAAGTAGCGTGCGAGGCAGCTTCGTACCCTTATCATATGTGGTGAGTTCAAAATATCTTATAGAGTGGCGTGCAATGTGGCTGGCCCTCGAATACGGGGCATCAGATATCTCCAAAATACAGCTGACATTCCACTTTTCTCACCGCTCATCCTGAACCGCTGTTGGATGCAGTTGCTCCCGTCAAGACTCTATTTTTGGGGGGGAACAGGATTCGGTACCCTAACTATGGGAACATTGATCCCTCTCAATATCAGACATGCTGTGCAACGAGATCTTAAGCCTAAAATGACCAGGAAAACCAGTCCTTTGAGGCATGGAATATATGTCTCAGATCATGCATCCACTAGTCAATGCATCTGGTCAATGGGATGATGGTATTAGAATGTCCTGACTGCAAGGAGGATCGGCGGTGACACGGAGTGATGATCCCACAGCGTCTTATACATTGGTGGATGAACGATGTAACTCGGACCATGTGTTGATATACTTTTGGTATACTGTTGGATGATTGGGAAGGCTATCCTGCTAAAAGATGGCCCCGCAACGCTCGACTAGTCCCAAGCCGCGATGGCCGACTTTCGTTTAGTTGTGGCGTGCTCTCACCAGTTTCCTCCTTTTTGGGTTCCAGCAGGGTTGGCCGATCTACTCGTCACGAGATAAGAGGTCCTCCATAATCTCCGGACATTTCTTGTCCTGTACGCCGGCCGGCCCCAGAAACACAACCTTCGCGGACAAGTCTTCCGACAGTCCTGGTTCCGACCCTTAGAAACGATTGACTGTTGGGCCTCACCGCTGGGGTATTCTTCAACCCATGACGATCCGAATATCTGCAGATGATTCGAGGCCACGGGATTGTCGGTCAATGAGAATAAGCAGAGAAAAGCAAGGAGACTCGGCCTCGCTTTGACGGCGCGGAGCTGCGATCCCCAGGAACAATTTTTGCGGCAACCAGCCCATTTCATCTGCATGTTTCCATCTCCTCTCGCCTGTTATTTCTATCATGGTTCTCTCACTTCAGCATCACTCACCGCATTTTTTGGCCCTGTCAGGCCCCTTACATTACTCTGCATATCAGACCTCAACCAATGCCGTCAAAACTATCATGGTGAGACAAAACCAGATGCTGAAGACGGGAGCCCTCAATCAGCTATATGGCCATATTCTTCAGACAGCTCCCGACTCGGGGCATATGTTTAATAACGTGCAAACTCCATCGGCGCGCCGAAGTGAGCTCTATTCAGCCGTTGAGCTCCATAACGCGGTGTAGTCTGCATATTCACCACCGCAGGCCCCCTTGCATGTGGAGATACTACTACGACCACGTATATAGACTCGTTTCGCCCGTCCAAGGTCCAAACAGAGAGCCAACACCATAAATTTATTTTCAAACTTCGTATACGCAAGCTATGGAGGCCATTTCCTTGCCTTTACCATGCCTCCTTCCCATGATTCCGACGTCTTGTAACCTCCCAAACCAGCACAATACCGCGAATGACCCGGAAGAACACAGATCCATTATTCAAGAATGGGACGATCAAGACAAACAGAGCTTGCATCAGTGGCTTGATATAGAAGCCGTGGGCTTAATTACTTTGGTGCGCGCGGCATGGGCTGTGGTGCTTCGATGCTATACTGCCCAGGACCACGTTTGCTTTCAGGTTTTCACAGGAGACCAAAATGACACCCATATATATGGCTGCCGCGTTACGGGATCAACAAGGCTACGAAGCTTACTATGCGAGACCGGCAGAGGGGACGGAATTGAAGAAAGCTGCATATATAACCGTCCTCAGCCGGTGCATGGCGCACCTGAACAACTGTGCAACACTATGATCTACGTTGGAGAGGATCCTGTACAAAGGATGAATGGGGTATGTTGCTTTGTCAATCACCATTACTCAATATCAAACAATTGTATTAACTTACAAAACAATGCATAGATTGATATCATTGTGGGAATCCGTCACAACAAAGACAACGGAGCTGTTGTCACGGTCATTAACTACAGCACCCTAACTCGGTCTCGCCAGGAGGCTGACGCCGTATTACATACCTTTCACCACACAGCCACCGAAATTCTCCGGCATACCGAGCAGAGGGTGGAAGATCTGCATCTCTGCAGTGATGTAGATGTTCAGCAAATGGCACGATGGAACATGAAATTCAGTAATAAGACAACATATAGGGAGGAATGCGTCACAGAGGTCATCTTGCGGCAGTGTTGTGAGTACCCTGATGCTATGGCTGTCTCGGCATGGGATGGCCAAATGACATACAGTGAACTGGACCGGCATTCTGCTCGATTGGCCAAACAACTGGTGCAGCTTGGCGTTGGCCGCGAGGTATGTGTTCCATTGTGTCTGGCGAAATCGAAATGGGTGGTAGTCGCCGTGCTAGGCGTGATACGGGCTGGGGGGGCATTCGTGCTTATCGATGTCTCCCATCCACCCGATCGAATTCGTAAAATCTGTCAGGCCGTTTCAGCGCCCGTTGTAGCTTGCACGCGCGCATGTGAGTCGCTCGCCCGGGGTCTGGCGGATAAGCTCGTGGTCGTCGAAGACTGCCTGGTGTCGAAAGGGGATCATGACGAGGATGCCCCACTTCCACAGCACTTATCTTCACCCTCTGATGCCCTGTACGTTGTCTTCACTTCGGGAAGTACATCGGAACCAAAGGGGGTTGTGATAGAACATGGGCCATTCTGTGCCTCTACCCATGCCACTGCAAGTTCGCTTATGCAGGGACCGGACACCCGCCGCCTACAGTTCTCCTCTCACGCATTTACCATGTGTAATCGTGAGCTACTCATGACCCTCATGGTGGGTGGCTGTCTTTGCATTCCCTCAGAGGAAGACCGCATCTATGGTCTCGCTGCGTTTATCAATCGACACCGGGTGAACTGGGCGCACCTGACTCCACCCATGGCCAGCCTGTTGTCTCCCTCGGACGTTCCTACCCTTCGCGTGCTGTCGATTGGGGGCGCGCCCATCGAGCCATATCATCTCACAAAGTGGGCCAGCCGTCTACAGCTGATCTACGGCTACGGTGCGAGTGAAACTGCCGGTGCGGCTATACTGTCCCCAGCTCTGAACTCTTCCTGGGATCCACGCAACATCGGCTTTGCATGTGACTCCTGCCTATGGGTAGTTAATGCAGACGACCCGAACCGGCTGGTCCCGATTGGCGCCGTGGGAGAGTTATTGATCCAGGGAAAGGGACTGGCAAGGGAGTATCTCGGAGACGAGACGAGGACGCGTTCAGTCTTCCTGCAGACCGCGGATTGGCAAAGAAGGCTCATGGCGCTTGGGTACAGCGCACCCAAGGAACGTCTGTACCGGACGGGGGACCTGGTCCGATACAACCTAGACGGATCTATCCGTTACATTGGACGAAAAGACAACCAGGTGAAGGTGAACGGGCAACGGGTGGAACTCGAGGAAGTCGAGTACCATATTAGAGACTGTCCGGAGCTAGTGAATCAAGGCGTGCGGAATGTTGCTGCGATTGCTGTCAACGCTGCGGCGACCCAGGAGGGGGCTGTGCGTACACAGCTAGTTGCCTTCATTGAGCATGACCTATCACGACTGACGAAGGAAGATGAGAGGGAGCACCGAGGAGTAAGGATTGTTCACTCTGACTTATTGTCTAAGGGACTTGAACAGCACTTGCTCCGGTCCGTACCCCGGTATATGGTCCCGGTGCATTTCTTCTTTGTCTGTAGCATGCCCATGACCAAATCCGGGAAGCTCGATCGTCGGCGCTTACAGGTCGTTGCATCAGAAATCCTCACCGCTGGAGACAGCAACCCAATACCTGACCGGTCCACTGCCACATCAGAAGAGCTCGTTTTACTGGAGATCTGGATGGAGACTCTAGGCCTACTGCACACGCCTCGGAAGGAAGATGACTTCTTTAGGCAAAGCGGTGACTCGGTAGCAGCGACCAAACTTGTTGGACGCCTGCGGGAGAAAGGCTTCATGCTTACTGTCGCCGACATCTTCAAGCACCGAACGCTGGAAAGAATAGCCTTGGTTCTCAGCTCATCGCAAGGCGTGACCGTGGAATGTGCGCCCTTTTCGCTGATTACCGCCAATATCACTCTACTCAATGCCGTGATGAAGCAGATCAAGGTAGAAATTGACGATATTGAGGACATTTACCCCTGCACACCTATGCAAGAAGGTCTCGTGTCCTTGTCGATTAAAAATCCCGGTTCCTACTATGGCTGTTTCGCATGGACACTGCCATCTACCGTTGATCTCCAGCTGTTCAGGGCAGCGTGGGAGACAGTCTGGATGAAGAACCCAATCCTGCGCACTCGCATTGCCTGTCTGCCGCAGGGCATGCTGCAAGTGGTCGTACGAGGGGATATTCCTTGGTCGACAGTCACAGAGGACAACGAGCCGGGTACAGGCATCAAAAAGCCCCAGGTTGACAATGGGCCCCTGGTCCAGTTCTTGATCGCTGCCAGACACGGCTGCACATTCCGCATTGTCATTCACCATGCCATCTATGATGCCTGGTCACTCGATATCCTCTGTGGGCAGGCACAGCATGCATATAACCGTGCCAAAATCGATTTCCACCCCGCCAACTCATTCATTCCCTACCTGCGAAAACATGCCGGCCCTCTTTCCGCCCAATTCTGGAAATCAGAGCTCGCGGGATTAAGGGCAAACCATTTCCCTGTCCTTCGAGGGACCACGCCCAGACAAGGTGGAATGACGATAGAACTGAAGCATACACTCCCAAATGTGGGGACTGAGTTTACCATATCATCCAGTCTTCGTCTCGCGTGGGCTCTTGTGCTGGGGCTTGAAACGGGTTGCGATGATGTAGTATTTGGAGTCACCGTGACTGGACGTGGTGCGGATGTTAAAGGCATTTCTGAGTTTACTGGCCCTACGATCGCAACAGTGCCGGTTCGAATCCAGCTTCGATATGGTCAATCTGTCGAGGAAAACCTCGTTCAGGTCCATGAGCAATTTGCCCGCATGATTGCCTTTGAGCAAACGGGCCTCCAGCACATTCGCCTGGTGGGATCCGAGGCAGCTACTGCCTGCGAATTTCAGAACCTACTGGTCATCCAGCCGCGAGGGCGTCAGCAGGCCATGCGCCATGGCATCTTTGGCCAACCACTGCCGAGCGCCGACAGCGCTCTGACAATCGGCATGGACTATCCGTTGACACTTGTCTGCGAAGTGGGAGAGCAATCCCTTGTCTTCAAGATGTCCTTTGCGCGAGAGGCAATTGCTAAGCAGGATGCGCAGCGGCTACTGAAGCAACTGGCTCACGTTCATGACCAGGTGGTAGTTGGCGGGAAGAAACGACTCAGGGATATCCATATCGTCCATCCTGAGGACCTCGCACGGCTCAAGCAATGGAACAACCATATCCCCCCACGGTCTCAAGTCTGTGTCCATGATATTATACTGCAAATTTGCCGTACGCGGGCAGAATCTGCAGCAGTCTGTGCAGTCGACCAGCAACTCACATACGGGCAGCTCGACAGATACTCAGCCTACGTTGCGCATTGTATAGTGACGAAAGATATCCGCCCAGGGGATATTGTGCCCCTGGTGTTTGAGAAAACCCCATGGACTGCTGTTGCCATCTTTGCAGTCTTAAGGGCCGGCGCCGCTTTTGTACTGCTCTCCCATTCCCACCCTTTGCTGCGCCTCCAGGGCCTAATACGGCAAACACGCGCCAAGCTCATTCTCTCCTCGAGAGCGTGTGCCAAAACAAGCCAACAACTTCACTCGGAAATGATTGTAGTCGATAGCTCTATTGCGGATCTTTCTGCAGAGACACGTTGTCTCCCGAGCAGTTTGCCCAAGGTGTCTGTCACCCCCGAGGACCCAGCTTGCATTCTATTGACTTCAGGTTCCTCGGGTACCCCCAAGGGAATTGTGCTGCCTCATGGAGCAATCACGAGTGGGCTCGCTGTTCGCCAGAAAAAATTGCGAATGAACCCAGAGAGTCGAGTCTTCCAATATGCTTCTTACGCTTTCGGCGTCGGAGTTTTGGATCATCTGCTGTCGCTGATGACGGGTGCATGCATCTGTGTTCCCGACGAGGAGACCTTGCGTAACGATCCCACTAAAGCTGCCAGAGATCTGCAGGCGAATACAGTGCTCGCCGTTCCGTCATCGATGCGCCTGATCGAGCCCCGAGGCGTTCCAAGCATGCAGACGGTGATAACTGGAGGAGAGCCCCTGAGGCGAGAACTAGTTCGGGAATGGGACGGCCAGGCAGCCTTGCTCCACTGCTATGGATCTGCGGAGTGCAATGTGGTTGCGACAGTGTATGAAGGTGTGCGCGGGGACGATGACCTGGCCAAGATCGGGACTGGGATCGAGGTAGCGACTTGGGTAGTTGATCCTGCTGACCATCACCGCCTGCTTCCTATCGGATCCGTGGGAGAACTTCTCCTAGAAGGGCCGACAATTGCATCAGGGTACTTGGACAATCCAGAGCAGACGGCAGTCACTTTCGTTGACTGTCCGCAGTGGCTCGCCGATATTCGTGCCCCTGGTCACGCAGAGAGACTGTACAAGACAGGAGATCTGGTCCGATATTGTCCGGATGGGTCGCTAGTGTTCTTGGGCCGGAAGGACTTCCAGATCAAAATCAATGGCCAGCGCATCGAGCCGGGGGAGATCGAGCAACGTATCTTGGCTCAGTTCCCCAAAGTCAAGGAGGCGGTTGTCGACCGCGTCCAGCTCAAGTGCAATAATGACCAAGCAGTCCTTGTGGCCTTCATATCCCCTCATACCAAACATATCTGGGGGGAGCCACCTCATGCGAAACTTTCGTGCGACTTGGAGGTTGCACAAGATCCATCCAGTCAATTTTATCTGGACATGCACGACATTACCGCCTGGTTGGGGCAAAAGTTACCATCTTATATGGTTCCGTCAATCTTCGTTCCTCTCATTTGCTTCCCCAAAACAGCCACTGGGAAACTGAACCGTCGTCGACTGCGTGAGGTTGTCGCAATGTGGGATCGCGATCGAGTCAGTCTTTACCACACAGAGCGCCTAGGACGGGCCGGCGCCCAAGTGGCAGTCACCGACGAAGCAAAGCAGATGGCTACCCTCGCTGCTACCGTCCTCGACATGGATCCCGCGAGTGTCTCCACGAATGGAAACTTCTTCATTCTCGGCGGAGACTCAATCGGTGCGACCCGTCTGTCTATGCTCGCCAAAGAGCATGGACTCTTGTTGACTGTTCAGGATATCTTCGCCCACCCGATCCTATCGGACATGGCCAAGGTGGCGAAGCCTTTGGCCGAATCCCATCCCTCACCACAGCTTAAAGCCCCTAGCGAACCGTTGTTAGTAGAAGAAAGAGCACAAAGGATTCGGGATATCCTTTCGCGGGTTCTCAAATTGCCGAAGATGGCCGTTCGCTTGGACAGCAACTTCTTCCACCTTGGCGGGGATTCCGTTACATCGTTCGAACTGGCTCTTATTGCCAAACGTGAGGGGATCCATTTGACCGAGGACACAATTTTCAAGTCCCCGGTGGTGATTGACATGGCTGCGGCATCGCAACCTGTTGCATTTGGTGGGCGCTCGGATTCGGACGGTAGCCGAACTGACACACTCAACTTACCCTCCGGATCAAACGAGTACGAGAGGATATACAAACAGTTGCCGCCAGAGCTATCTAGCAGAGTCGTCGATGCCCATCCTCTCTCCGAATTCCAGGAGATGACCTTGAGAGTAATGAACTACCGCTACCACTGCGTTGCGTTACCTCCCAAGTTTGACCGAGGCCGACTCTGCCGTGCATGCCAGGCATTGGTCGATAGGCACGCTATCTTCCGCACTATATTCACATCTGTTAATGGGGAGATGATCCAGCTCGTTCTCAAAGAGTGGCAGATATTAATCCACGATTACGAGGTCGACGATCTGGATCGGCATTGCTCAGAGGGCGGAGCCGTTGCGGAGGCCCCCACGAGTAGTGGGAAACCGCCGCTGGACGTGCAACTGGTGACCTTAAAAAGTACCCGGGACACATTTCTCGTCTTCCGGCTCGCACATGCGTTGTTTGACGGCTTGTCGCTCTATAATCTGATTCAGGATCTTTCCGCGTTCTATAACGGCCGGTCCTTGCCTCCCACCAGCTCATTCTTGACGCATCTCCGCGCCGCAAAAGCCATGAAGACGGACGCCGCCTACGGCATATGGCGACGTGTGCTGCATGGGTCACATATGACATCGCTAAGCCAGCACCGACTGCCCATTCCCACTGGGGCGGAGCGAGCTGCGCCAGCATATTTAGTCAAGGTCATGAAAACAATCCCGCGCGTGTCCCCTCCGCCCAACATCACATTATCTACAGCTCTCAAAGCTGCATGGGCGGTCACGCTGCTGCGGTATTTCGCTCCCATCTCCCGTAGTGCCGAAGAGGCCCCCGCGGATGTCGTCTTCACACAAGTCTTCCACGGGCGCGAACTGGATGTGCCGTATGAGGATCGCATCATTGGGCCATGTACCAGCATCGTTCCGGTACGCGTGTCGTTCCAACCATTGACATGCAAGCTAGAGCTTTTGCGCACCGTGCAGCAGCAGCTCCTGGACACAATGTCATGCGCAGCATTGGAATACCAGGATATTGTGAAGAATTGCACGTCGTGGCTCGAGACGACCCCCATCGGCAGTTTTGTGCGCGTACGCAACTACGAGATTGATCCAGTGTGTTGGCTGGATGGAGTGGCGTGTGACACCACTTACAAGGTACTTCCTAATAAGCCGTCTGCGAGCGCCAACGTGCATATCCACCCTATCAGAGACGAGTTGCGTGTTGACATCACGATCTCGAGTCACGTTCTCAGTCCAGAGCAGGCGGAATATGTGGTGGAGGATTACTGCCGGAGCATCCAGGCCTTTGATATCGATGCGATAGCGCGAGAGCCTGCGATATCCACTCTGTGACATAGTCCAGACAGGCTGTACGAGACCGTAGAAAATAACTATTTTCTATAGAACTGCAATCTTTAACATGCGTAAATATGCTCACGTAGAATATCACTGATTGTAGCTTGACGTAAGGGTAGACATCGATACGGACCTGCGCAGATTAGACGCGCAATAAGAGGTGCCATCACCGACTTGGTTCATTTCACAATATTGCCAATGGTTCGAGATACGGGCAGGGTCTTCGCTGGTTGCCGACCCCTTGCTGATCAATTTACTGCACTCGTGAACTTGCAAAATCTGGCTAATAACGGTCAGCATCAAAGCACCATGAACTACTATCAAGAGAAGCAAGGACAGCCACAACTGCATTGAGTGAGCTCTGACAATCCGCACAATCCATGGGCACTCACCGACTCGGTGATCAAGACCCTCGGCAGCGCTATTGCAACCAGGTGCTTTGAATAGGGAATTGGAAGACATAGTAAGATTGCCCCAGATGTCATGAGCAAGGGTGGAACGCATACTATGAAAAGCCATTTCCTTACATAGCTGTACATATGCCGAGACTGGTCACTGGACCACATGGATAGGCTGTCTACGTGCAATATCCTTGACAGGATAAGTCTAGTTGGGGTAATATTGCCTTTATTTGTGCTTCAGACAGCATTCCTAGCATATCACCACTAAAGGGATCCTGTCCACGCCATCGTTACGCTGCACCTGTGGTATGCTGCAGTCCTAATGCTTAGTGGCTGGCATGGTGCCTTCACCGCTGATTGCCGGCTCCAGAAGTTCTTGCCAATTTGCCGAGGGCCCAGCCTTGTTGCTGTCTTATAGCAGCATGCAATAGGGACTTATTAAATACATTCGAATCCTCGGCACAGTTTACGAAGGCTCATAGTCAATGTGAGCGGACAGCCCCGTATGACATAGGTTCTGTCAACATTACGCCTACCAACATCCAGATCATATACACAAGATGCTGATGGAAGAGTTGAAAAACGCGCTTTCGCCGGGATATGACCGGGATATGGCGCACTTGAAAGGTCTTTCGAGAGTTGATGTGCCGATACGAGCAATCTTGGAGGGATACAGCAATATTGAACCGGACAAGGTTCTGGCACACGTGAAGGATGTGGTACGTGAAGCACAACTCAACAGTTTCATCATCGTTGACTAAGTACTTATTTTCCCCAGAGGGATCGGGCTTTTGCTGTGGTATGTTGCTTTACTATCACGTCAACAGACAGTCACGGATCCTTGATCTAATCGCGCCAGCTACAGTGCCCATATCCGTGCGTAGCGAAGTTCATGTTCCTGGAACCAGCAATTTCCACGCTACCCTGCTTCGACGCCATTGTGGAGCGGGTTAAGGAGGGCGAGAAGTTGCTCGATATGGGCTGCGCCTTTGGACAAGAGCTTCGTCAACTAGTAAGATACCCATTCAGCTCCCCTCTTTGCGTATTATATCAGGGCTAAAGACGTGGGCTCGGGGGCATAGGTATATCACGGTGCACCCTCTGAGAACCTGTACGGTGTAGATCTTCGCCTTGATTTCATCAACCTAGGATTCGACCTATTTAGAGATCGCTCAAGCCTGAAATCCCAATTTTTCGCATCGAACCTACTTGACAGTAATTCTGACGCGGTCGTGGAGCTCACTGGGAAAATCGATATTATCTTTGCATCGCTCTTCTTCCACATCTTCAGCTGGAACCAGCAGATCACGATTGCCAAGCATGCGCTTCAGATGCTTACCCCCAAACCAGGGTCAATGATCGTGGGGCGGAATGCCGCGTATGTCAACCGAAAGACGCCGCCCTTGCCGGAGGAATACACGACCAAGTCTTTCCATCACGATCTGGCAAGTTGGAAGTTGCTTTGGGATGTGGTTCAGAAAGAGACCGGCATGATATTTCGGATGGAAACTTGGGAACAACCTGATCAAGACTTCATGGATCATCCGGAACTAGGGGCATATATGATGTACTTCACCGTGACTCTGGAGTGACTGAACTATTAGTGGAATGTGGGCACCAGAGCAGGTTAGTGTATGTTCAGGGAGTGCATAGTGAGTGCTCAATGGAGTGCCCAGAGTGCTCAGGCCACTCTTATGTGCAGCCCTCACAAAAGCAGTGGCACCCATATCAAGCAATCAAATATCTACTATGCTAGAAAATGATTGTCTAGATGCTTTTGGGTGAGTGGTGATATGGTTAACACCTTTGCTAGTAGGATACTACAGATAATTTTGACAACACATGCATCAGTATCTAGACGGGTGTCTCTGCTCTCTAATGTCTCCATTCACTGCGTTGTCAAATAGATGTCGCCAGTCATATAGAACAAGGTCTACCCTTACTGCAATGTTACCGGCATCTTCTAATAGAGATCCTGCTTGGTCTGAGTAAAACCTCGACTAGGTACAACAGTTACTCAGTGGTTCCAGGATATCCTAGAAATCCCTCAACTATTCATCTGTTAGAATGGCCATGCACCTGTGCAAATAATACCACAGCCTTATGATGGACGGCTTGCGCAGCGCCAAGGATCCAGGTGTGATGTGATATGAAACAGAAAATCCTATGGGCAAGGTAGAGCCTATAGGATACATGCTACATACGCACTACTGCATGCTTATCATAACAATGTCTTGAACCTATTTTTACGTTGATTTACGTATCTGATTTCAATCCCAGCAGGAAATTGCGCTCCTTGAATCATGTATGATTATTCGATCGAGGTCCATAGACCAATTGGGAATATATGCAGCTAGTCGAGATATACAGTATAATATGTACTGGCCGCTGCAATGTCACCGATTGAATAAACAATTCAGGATCAGTTGTTCATTCACTGTGCCTATTACATGGTGCACTCAATAGTTAAAACACCGGCTACTACCTCGGAGGAATACTCTGCTGAAGATATATATGTTTGTCAAGCCATTGACATAGCCACCTTCAAACCATCGCAACAACCATCGGTATCATGGATGATCCTCATTATCAGAGATCAATTTCTCTAAGATGTTCTGTCGTATATCCCCTGTCTCAACACCATTCATACTGTTCAATTCGCTCATTGTACATTCCGATTCTGGAGAGAATCCTCGAGAGATACTTAGGGTTTGAGGGGAATACAATTCAGTACGGTATTGTAATACAAACTGAAAAATCCGCGATGAAACCTCCGTTCTATTCCCACCATTTGATTGGCCCTCGGAATTAAGGTGCAACTAGCGCGTAAGCAGGATGCATTAGTGTCTTCTGTTGGTGTCGGAGATCTTCCATTCTGCCCTGATGAGCTCACTGCTTGGTCAGCAGCAGCAATAGACTCAATGACTATGTGAAGACACTGACATCATAGATCATACAGTTCATTACTAGTTTTAGTGACAGTGACAAAACACTAAATGTTACAGATATCGAAAGATCAGCTTCTCCCCCCGTTTGCGCCGCCAGTTATTCGTCGACTCTAGTAAGTCAGGACACCCCCGGACCACCCACGGCCACTTCTGCAGAAACTTCTCCGTGACCTCCCAGTTTTTCGGATCTGTGGGGTCCCCCCACACCAGCAGACAGCAGGCGTCCATCCCCGAGTCCCAGAACCCCATTATATCAACGCACAGCTGGCAGTCATCAAAGTTGTCCTCCCCCGTCGTGAGCAGGTTATCTCGAATTTTCGGGATGGGGAAGAAATCCAGCCACGGGTGATGCGGGACCGTCTTCTGCAGGCGGGTCGGTCGGAGACTAGGCGGGAGTTTCTGCTCGTCGATGTAGCCTGGGCCCATGGTGGAAAAGGGGGAGAGAGCGTCGTCGTGCATCCAGTCCTCGGTGTGAGACATTCCTAGTAGGGACATGATGCTGGCGAAGGCGCGGAAGACGTTGACTTTGCTGAGGGTTAGGAGGTGGTCGGAGGTTGGGGAACCGAGGATGTAGCTCTCGTAGGCGGTGCGGACGAATATGTCGAGGTATTGGCGGACTTGACTGGAGTTGAGACATGGAGTGGAGTTTGTGTTGGTGACTAGCGAGGTTTCATTATTTGGGCTTGTGCTCGAAATGGAGGTTGCGGTTGAGGAGGGCGGTGTCTGGGTGATGGAGAGGGAATAGTCCGAGGTGGAATGACTTGTTTGCACTCGTCGCTGAGCTTGCTTTCGCCTTCCTGTGTCGCGTTAGTCTAACGCCGACCTTTAGATGAGAAGGGATGACTTGACTTACGATAAGCCCTCTGATTGATGCGATTCTGTCTCCTCCGCCGTTCAACAGGGTCAGTCAACCCGGACCAATCATCATCGGGCTTCTCGTTATCGCCGGACAGGAGAGCTCCACGCGATGACACGGACCGGGAGGAAATAGTCGGCATGATTAGCTTACTGTGTAGATAATCGAAGCGTAAGCGTTGAGTTGAGAAGCGCAACGGAAAAGATACCGAGCGGGGATGACAGTCTTAAAGCATTTTGCTGATGCTGTGGCTGAGTGGATCCGGAGTCCGGAGTTAAGACAGGGTTCTGGAGCCGACACGTTCTATTATTAATAAGGTAGAGTACGGTATTGTACATCCATATTACAGTACCTTACCAATCGATTATCACCGTCAGGTAACAAGCAAATTATGATCTAATAATTCCAATCCAACAAGTCTACAAGTATAAATCAGTGAAAGTAACAGGAAGGTTATTAAGCATGCAGGGCCATTGATTTACTTTGCTCTGTTTTGGAAAGTGAAAATGATGGCAGTGGAATTGATTAACATAGTCACAGTTGCCAGAATAAGATCAAATGGTGATGGGAATTACTGGAGAAATCATCGATCTTGCTTGGCTATGGTTAAGGGTACAAGTTTCACTGTGTTTCGCTGAACATGTGAGGGATAGCTTGAAATATTTGTCTGAATTCATAGGAAATCCAGTCGCCTCAATATAAGGTATCCTAGCACACAGTCCTCTTCTGGTAAGACAGCGGAGTACCTTATTATGGAACTATACCTTCACCAAATACATAGTAGAAGATCATCAACCACTGAAAAGGAGGTCGGTCTTTCAACACCAGAAGAATACCATCTTGAGGAATGATCTAGCAAACAAGAGACTTCTAGTGAAGTAAATACAGTCGGACGCCAAATGTGCCTGATACTGGTATCCTCATCATCTCTCATAAACCCCCATTCTCCACTTCCTTATTTCTTCCTCTTGTTCTTGGGCGCAAATGACTTTGCCGCCAGTCCTTCCCATTTCTCGTCGCCAAGGTCCAGTCCCCGAGAGTTAATCAACAAAGCGAAGCGCTTGTCCTTATTCAGTTGTTTCAGATTCGTACCAAGCGTGGACGCCAACTCGAAAGTCCCCGCTATCGAACCGCTTCTTGTTGCGTCGTTCGAGCCGCGCCTGGAGCTCTTGCTCGATGATTTGGGCAAGTGTCTTGCCATGGACAACGGTGTTTTTGATAGCGGTGGTTTCGTCGTCGTTAAAGTATGGTGATCCAATGTAGGAGAGATCGGTCACGGTCTCGAGACGCTCGCGGGAGTCTGGTCGCTGGTTGAAGTGCTGCAGGTCGTATAGTAGGACGTGCAGTCGGTACCACAGGGTGGGAGACGTGATGTGGTTTTGGAGGTTTGTGATAGAAGGTGGATTTCCTGTGTTGTTGTTCTGAGTAACAGCGCTCTCTGGCGAGTGTGAGATGGCCATGTTGATATGAGAAATTTCCGTATGTGAGGAGAGTTGAAGGACGTTGTGTGTTGTAGTTGACGTGACAGGGACTGTTCTGTTCCATGGCACGCTCATGTCGCAATAGCGGTACCACAAGCTTCATAAGGTACATCCAACACCGGTTGCTCAACACTGTCCTTGGTCGTAAACAAATCATGACGCAGACAACACCATAATAAAAGGGTATACCATCATGCAAGCTGGAAATATGCATTCATTATGCCCCCTGGCCACAAACTAGCTGCGACGCCACTTCGATATGCGCAAACCGCTCTTGAATCAGATGCAATTTCTCAATCAGAATCTTCTTGGAGACCTGTTGTAAATTCCGGAATGAGAAGATGACGTCCTTCAGAAACAAGATATCGTCAATGCGACTGGTAGTCTCCTCCAGCGTCACCTGTGGCCCATGAAGAACCACATCCGCAATCGTATTGATAATCTCCAACAACTTGCTCAAGATCGACGACCCGTGGATCTGAATCGTATTCTGCGAGATCTTGGTGAGGAACTGGCGTAGTTGGCTGGATAGTCGGAGCGGCATTTCGAGCGACAGCGATGGACAGGAAGCATGAGATGACAGCAGGCAGTTTGACATAGCCATCTGCCAGAGGAGAGTCCGCATCCACTGTCGTGTCACGACCAGGTCGGCCTGCTGCAGATCCGACAGCATCGAGACCTCGAGTTCCCATAGCTCGTCGTCGAGCTCCCGATGTTTTTGCTCGACCCATGCAACCGTCACCTGGCTCCGATCGCCGATCCAGAGGCTGATAAATGTCGGCTCTAGCAGAAGGAAGGTTTTGATCACCTGGATCCAGCCCTGGGAGATACTGGGGTCGAGGCTGACATCGTCCTCGGGAAATTGCGCGTATGGAGACAACGTCGCGGGCGAAAAGTGGAAGATGGACATGAATCGTTCATGGATGAAGCACAACCAATAAAGGCGCTGTCGCCGGGAGCGTTCGGTCAGGTCAAGACTGGCCATGACGGCTTTGTCTTCAATCCGAAGGAGGTGCACCATGCTAATCGCTTCTCGCAGGTAGAAGAAGCCCAGGTCATACTGCCCCAGGCTCATGTAGCACATCTGGATGTACACGCTTGTGACAGCCCGAAGGATAGACGGTCGGAAACCCGGGAGCAAGGGAGTCCGGAGCTGGATCGCTCGGCCGGCGAGCTCGTTGATCTGCTCCGACACATGAGACGTTGCTGCATTCGACTGCGTCAGGTCAATTGTGACTCCGGTAAAGGCGTAGACAAAGGCCGCATGGTCTCTATCTGTGGCCATCTTGCCAATGGACTGGCGGATCTCCTCGTCCGTCATGATCGGGTTGAAAGGATACACATAGGCCATGTATTTCGGGATGAGACTATGCAGATATGACGTCGATAATGTCACCGACTTCAGATCTGGGAGAGACGAGGGTGGGACAAGTACCGACGTCGAAATGTGTTCAGTCTTGAGTTCCCGCGCGAAGGGGATTTTGTACTCGGAAATCACGGTTCCTCGACGGAGAGCATTCTTCCGCGATCGCGCACGTTGATTGTCGCTATACGTACAGAGCAAGTCCAGATGCTCGCATTGCTGACACCGGTGTTGGCCATTGCAGCGGACTTTCCGTCGTCTACATGGATCGCAGGCTCGGGAAACCTGGGGTTTCTTCAACCGAGTGGTATCCATCTTCGCAACTAGACAAGCCTAAATCATAGAGCTTGTCTCACTGTCTCATGCTTATCAGTTATCCAAATCCAGCGTCTACACATAAGAAGACCAAGACGCCCAGTGGACCCTCCGTCGAGTTTCAGGGTGAAAGTGCCGAGAATATTGGCCATTAAATATTATTAATAATAACCACCAACCCCCACATGCTGGGGAACTGCGGCTATACTACTTTGGGTATATGCCTAGGCTATTATTTTGCAGAGAGAAGAACGAATTGATTTTAGTCAAAAGGTTATGGAATTAACGCCAGTACTAATTAGGATAGGTGTCCGTTCAATTAGGTATAGCCTCAACTGCAAATATCCGCCCCTCATATGGCTGCAACTCCCACTCCTCGCTTACAGTCTTGCCAATGTTGCTAACCAACAGCCTTAAATTCCGGTTCTGGAGCCCCATGGGATTCCGGAATGGTTGCAGCTCTTCGGAAAAGTTCAACACGACCAGCATACACTGCTCTTTGGAAGTCTTGAGATAACTGAAGATTCTCTGGTTGCCCTCGTCCAAGAGCTCGAAGATCCCGAACACGAAGAAATCAGAGTACTCTTTCCGCAGCTGAATCATCTGCTTCCAGAATGACAGGACGGAAGGCGGGTCATCTTGCTGCACCTGCACGTTGACCTCCTTGTGGTTGTCATGGGGACGCATCCACGGCTTCTTTGAGGACGGATGAGAGAACCCCGCATTGGCTGCTGCGCTCCACTGCATCGGAAGTCGGGCGTGGTCTCGAGCCAGGTGCTGTAGAGCCTTCATGGCCGTCTTCATCTGTACGGGGTCGTTGTTCGTCATTTCGCGCACCATGTAATAGTACTTGGTACTGTCGACGTCCTTGTACTCCTCGATAGGCCATTCTTCCGGGGCATTGACCATGCCGATTTCCTGCCCTTGATAGATGAACTGTGTGCCGGACAGTGTGCACTGGAACATGGCAAGCATCTTTGCAGACGATTCGCGGAGCTCAGGCGTTCTGTCTGAGCCAAAGCGAGAGACAGAGCGGCCCTGGTCGTGATTCTCGATGAAAACCGTGGTCCAGCCATCGGTTCCCTTGAGGATGTCCTGGGTGCGCTTGATCGCTGCCTTGAGGTCGGCCAAGGTCCACCCGCGCGGTGTGGTCAGGAACTTGTAATCTTTGCCCAAACCGAGGTCTACGACGTCAAACGAGAAAACCATGTTGAGCTGCTTCTCGGCGGCGGATACATACCGCAGCACTCCCTCGAGCGTATGTGTCTCTGGCAGCTCGCCGACAGTCATGGCGTCATACTTGGCCAGCACTTCGTTCATCTCGCGCAGATACTCGTGAATGCGCGGTCCGTTGCAGAATAAGGAGAAGGCAACCTGGGTGTCTGATTTGGGGTTGACGATGGGGGCATCGGGATATGACGGATCCTTGCTGTACATGTTCACTGTATCGACCCTGAACCCATCGACGCCTTTTTTGAGCCAGAATTCCATGGCTGAGGCGTAGACGGCCTGTCGTACTTCAGGGTTCTCCCAGTTGAGATCAGGCTGTTCGGCAAGGAACAAATGCAGATAGTACTCCTGTGTTGTCTGGTCCCATTCCCAAGCACTGCCTCCGAACACACTGCGCCAATTATTTGGGGGTTTCCGATCGCCATTGGCATCGTACTTGGCCGGTCTCCAGATATACCAGTCTCGCTTGGGACTGTCTTTCGAGGATCGGGATTCTTTGAACCATCTATGCTCGTGCGATGTATGGTTGACCACCAAGTCTAGGATGATGCGTAGTCCACGACGGTGACAAGCATCGATCAAGGTCTCCATGTCCTCAACCGTTCCATAAGGAGGATACACCTTCTCGTAATCGGAGACATCATAGCCCATATCATGTTGCGGACTGTCGTACATGGGACAGAGCCAGACAACATCTACCCCTAGGCTAGCGATATGATCGAGTTGCGATATGATACCCGGGATATCGCCGATCCCGTCATTGTTCGAGTCTTTGAAACTGGCTGGGTAGACCTGGTAGATGATGGCATTCTTCCACCATTTTTCATCGGGTGACATAGTTACAAGTCTTGATAAGAGTCACTATCTAAGATGTTGATTGCAGAGGCTGGCCGGAGGATATGCATAACATTGAGATGACCCAAAATATATAACCCATGGAGTTATGTGATCAGCCATCTTGATCGACCCTCTTGCCAGTTGTCATCCCATCCCCAACCAGTCTGATTGATTCCATGTCGGACCGAGTTGGTATCCCCGTTGCATTTGTGTGACTGTGCCAGCCAACAGGTCATGTCGCCTTGTCGTTCTATCCACCCCGCGAGTCAGCACACAGGGCAAGAAGCATTCCTCATGATCAGCCCGAGCACAACATGATCTGAGACGCGTAACCCCCATCCCCACTTCTGCTCCCAGCTACGCGTTCCTATTGGTGCAAGTGTAATATATGCCGAGTGATTGATTCGTCCAAGGCGAGTGTGCAGAGCGGGGCAGCACTCTTTCATTGGATATAGGGATTACCCCTCACATAAGTAGCGCAAAGCCTAAGTACGCTTTAAACCATTCCAGGTTAGGTGCATTAGCGCCCAAATGCGAAACCAAGAGTCGGCCCGACATTCTACCAATAACACTCTCATTTCCCGTCTCCCGACCAATTTTCGTCCCGGTGTGAAAATTTGGCTGCAATTCCAGGCCTTCAACGGGGGCGAATTTCAGGGGAACTCAAGAGTAAAAGTCTTGTTAAGCTGCCGCTCGGGTCTCCTCAGTCCCTCAGACTCGTCCGGTCGTCTTATGGTCTGACTCGTCTTGTGGTCTGGTCACGGATCGATAGAAATCTGGGGATATCGAGGGTCCGCGACAATCCGGGGAAGCCGACCAGAAGTTACTATCTACCCCACATCTCATCATCCCATTGCCATCGTCCCTTACCAGCTTGCTGCAAGTGTGCCACACTCCTTAAACCGTCAACTAAGCTCGGGACTTTGTGTCAAGAGCCAATGACCGCCATCGGACCGGAATGGTCTGACTTTTAAGGCTTGCGAACGGGCCCAGCTTCTAGAAGAATTACTTTGAATTGTTGCCCCCCTTGGACTGTGCAATACGAACCAAGGCGCTCGTCCTATATAAAAGCCGCACATTCCTGCGGCCAGCTGCCCTTCCCTTGTTTTCTGTCGACAGGCCTGGCCTTGCCTGGCAATTCCAACACAGATACTCGTTATTGACTCATCATAAACCATGGAGGTCGAGAAGTCAGCCGGGATCGAACATGTGGAGGAGGAAACTGGCTCACGCATGTCCCATCCCCAGCCTGCGAGCCCCCAGGGCCTCGTCGCCAGCAGTGAGGCCCAGGCGGCCCTCGACAAGGAACACAGCATGACACTGTGGCAGGCACTGAAGATCTACCCCAAGGCCGTGGGTTGGTCTATTCTTCTGTCGTGTGCCATCATCATGGAGGGCTACGATGTCGTCCTGATCGGTTCTTTCTTCGCCTACCCCCAATTCAACCAGAAGTACGGCCATATCATGTCGGACGGAAACTACGGTCTCGATGCTAAGTGGCAAGCGGCCTTGACCAACGCGATGAGCTGCGGCCAGATTATCGGCCTGTTCATCAACGGCATCGTCTCGGAACGCTTCGGGTACCGGCGGACCCTCATGACTTGCCTGGCCGCGACCGTCGGGTTCGTTTTTATTTTGTTCTTTGCGCCCAACATACAGACCCTTGTAGCCGGCGAGCTGCTCATGGGTATTCCCCTCGGCGTGTACCAGACCCTCACCGTCACCTATGCATCGGAAGTATGTCCCGTCGCCATTCGAGGCTATCTCACCACCTACGTGAACCTGTGCTGGGTCCTAGGTCAACTGATTGCCTCCGGTGTCCTGAAGGGGCTCGAGGAGCGCACGGACGAGTGGGCCTACCGCATCCCCTTCGCCATTCAATGGGTCTGGCCCGTCCCCATCTTCATCGGCGTCTTCCTTGCCCCGGAGAGTCCCTGGTGGCTCATCCGCAGGGACCGCCGAGACGATGCCGTCAAAGCGCTCAACCGGCTGGCCATAGCTGGACATCCGGACTTCAACGCCGAGGAGACCGCGTCGATGATCGTCTACACCAACGCGCTGGAGAAACAGGTCGAGACAGGCACATCCTACGTGGACTGCTTCCGCGGATGCGACCTGCGCCGCACGGAGATCTCGTGTCTCGTCTGGGCCGCGCAGAGCCTTTGCGGCGGCGGGCTCATGGGCTACTCGACCTTCTTCTACCGCCGGGCTGGCCTCGCCGTCTCCCAATCCTTCACCATGTCGCTCGTCCAGTACGCCATCGGTGTGGTGGGCACCTTTCTCTCCTGGGTGTTGATGACGTACTTCGGTCGTCGCACGTTATATGTCGGCGGACTGGCTCTGCTCGCCATCGTCCTCTTTGTCATCGGCTTCATCTCCATCCCTCACGCCACCCCCGCCCTCTCCTGGGCCACCGGGTCCATGCTCCTCGTCTACACCTTCATCTATGATTCAACCATCGGTCCCGTCTGCTTCTCCCTCGTCTCCGAAATCCCCTCCACCAGACTCCGTACCAAGACCGTGGTGCTAGCTCGAAACCTCTACAACGTGATCAATCTGGTCTCGGGGATCATCATCCCGTACATGCTCAACGTGGATGCATGGAACTGGCGAGGCAAGTCGGGGTTCTTCTGGGGCTCGCTCTGCACCTGCTGTTTGGTCTGGGCGTTCTTCCGCATCCCCGAACCCAAGGGTCGGTCTTACGCTGAGTTGGATATCCTGTTTGAGCGCAAGGTCCGCACCAGGGAGTTTGCGACTGCCGAGACGGGCTTGGTGGAGGGAAGAAGCGATCACAAGGTTGATCCGCTCGCTGTTAGCGTTTGAGTCGGTCTGTTTGTACACGTATTTAGTGTTTATGATGATGATTTGCAAATATGGATGGATGTATTGTTTTAGTATTTCAATTATATCTATCTTCTTCTACAATTCCCTCTATGAGGCACTTCCAGTACAAATAAAATACTATTGAATCCAAGTTTTACTATACAGAAGGGAGCGACATCAAGCCACGAAGGCTAGAAACAAGCGACACGACCAACACTTATCATCTAGCAAGAGGAAAGAGGCTCAGAGTACTGGCAAGCATCACTAGGGCCCTCGCTGACCTCCTCAGGCTCATCACCGGTATCGTTACCCTTATACTCCACACAGATCTTCTTGACGTCGGTGGCGCAGGTGCTGCTGTCGATGGACGCAGTGTCGCCTAGGTTGCTGTTGATACCGACCAGGGTCTTGCCCGAGTTCGCGACCACGTTCTTGATGGTCACGGTGCGAGCATGCTGCTCGTCGCAGTTGCCGCAGGACCGGTAGAGCTTGCCAAAGTCATAGACGGTGAAGCCGTCGATGTTGACCTGGCCGCCGGAGTTGTGCTGGATGACCTTGTCGTCGGCGCCTTGGGCACCGCCGCCGATGATGTTGTAGGGGCCGCTGCCGCCCTTGAGCGAAAGGGCGTCTGCGTTGCGTTAGTGTGTGATGGGGTGAATTGTGTGAGATTATGCTTACCCTCGCAGACGGCCTCCCACCAGACGTTCTCGATTGTGCAGGCTCCGAGGCAGTAGACACCCTCGATCTGGTCGGAGCCAATGATGGCGTTCTTCAGGGTACCGCCCTCCTGGATGAGGAAGACGGCGTCGTCCTGGCCCCCCTCGCTCTGGCCGCTGCAGGAAACGCCACGGCCGTAGGTCTTGTAACCACCGTCGTAGGTCTTGCCGGCGGCGACCTCGTAGGGCTCGTCAAAGGTGACGCTGCCTTGGGACTTGGGAATGGGGAACTGGGCCAGGGCGCTGGTGGCCAGCAGAGAGAAGAGAAGGCTCTTTTGATACATGGTGATGTGTAAGGGATGGGATAAGCAGAGTATAGTTCGCAGAACTGAGAGAAGAAGATCGATGCTACCAGAGCAGATGGGAAGAGACTTGGTTGATGATAGCAGTTGCAGTCCACTGGTCATGCGCTGCTTTATATCTTTCCTACGAATCTCAACGTCTCTCCATTTTCAGGAGACCTACAGGCTCATCAGCGGACTGACATGCTCTCCCCTTGGCAGGTTTCACTCGGAGTGTTGCCACGCCAGGTCTGGCATGTTGAGGAATCAACGTGAAACTGGGCTCGTCGGTCACGTCTACAATCGACCGGAGAATTGCCGATCCATGACTCGCAAGCTGACATTTCTGGTCGAGTTTACCCGAGTATGACACAGGACCTGCGTACTCACCCACCGGTATTTTCATCTCCGGTAGTTGATCGGCACGCCAAGATATATGAAGCACCGGCCCATTTCCGCCACGACTCCATCCCTTCTTGGCAGCTGGATTCAGTTCGATCGACATGCTGACTGACCTTTGTCTATGGGAGAATCGAATCGACGTGATTGATGGAGATTCTAAGTTCTCTTACGGACTAGACGGCATCGTATCTGTTTTATGTCCTCTCCGTCGGAAGAATGCCTGATCACTTGATCCGGAGACTGTATGTCGATGCCGAGAGACGATATGGGGCTGCCAGTCAGACTAGGCATGTTGCGTCGTAATTGTGGCGCAGTGGGAGGGCCTGACAGACCAAGAACCGGGGTACTGGCGGAATAATGAGTGGATAGAAGCCGAATCATGCCCAATCTGTACTGGGTCAAAACGATGTGTTTCCACCGATGTGTCAGTTTCACCTTTAATTGCAGTACAACCCGGATTAATTGACTCGTGCTCAATCAAATATAGTTATACGAGTCATACGCATCAGTAAGCGAGTCGCAATATGTCACAGAAACTAAAGGACCTTGGTATAGGAGTCTCGTGGTGCGTGGATAACTGATTGGAGGACAATATTAACTGCGGCGAGTCGATCAATATCTCCCCTCATATGCAGTTATTTGTCCAGACTGCGCGGCAAGTTGATAAAGTAGTGACTACGCAATCTTCTGCAGAGCCAAGGCGCCTGGTGACTATTCATCTTACGGCTTACCGGCCTTCTTCGAAAGGTGTACTTGTACTCAGAGGGATACAACGACTGTCGGACTGGCCAAGCTTCCTTGGCCGTTTACCTGAAGCTATCTACCACACAATAAAGCTAACACCCTCCTGTAGAACTGGGTTTCTCACACGCCTTCCCTGTGCAGTTAAACCCCCGAGTGCCCTCGACATTGCCACACAGATATTCATCCGCCATCGTCCCATTCGACAGCTGCAAGTTCACATTCCGAATCTGGATGTCCGTACACGGCTTGACGGCACTACACTGGAAGCTGGCCACCACGTCCGTCTTGGAGGATCCGGTGACATCTTCGATGCGCAAATCCCAGATCTGAAATTTGGACGAGGTGCAGTTGCTCGGCGCCCGTGCAAACGTCGTACACTGGGAGATGGTGAAGGGCGCCCCGCGCAGATTGTAGGCGTAGAGATTCGAGGCGGATATATCTGAGGCATCTATTGTGACGCATTCGTCAGAAGGGAGGCCCGAACATTCAGGAAAGGGGGGAAGGCAAAGGGTGATTACAGCCAAGGCCGCCGCCTCCACCGTTGGGCGGGTAATTGACCTGCTCGCCCGTCCAGGTCTTGAAGTACAGACTGTGCAGCGTGCCGTAATACGTGATGTTCTCGGCTCGGACACGCTCGATAGTCTCAAAGACGTCCTTGTACTGGCCGATACTGCCTATGGCGATGCCAAGACCCCGGTAGAAGACCGAGTTGGTGATGAGAATGTCGGTGGAATTGGCCTTGGTGCTGATGCTGTCGTCGCCGTTGACGACCGTCCAGTTGTTGAAGGTGATGTGTGAACTGTAGATAGTGTCGGCTCCGTCGGTATTGTCTTTTCAGTTAGCTTCAACGTCATTTACTTCATTATGCTACGTACGAGCCGAGTTGCCGTTAGTGGTCGTGCTGTTCACATAGATCGAGTCGAAGAGGATATGATTCGAGTGAATCACAGATAAAGTCCTGACTCTTAGCTATTGACCTCCCGCAGGGAATAGCTACTTACCACATCTGACTTTGCAGGAATCTCAGCCCCTGAAAGACCGAGTTCGATGCCCGCGCGACGGTGAGGGCGTGCGGCCTGCGAGGATAATTCGACACACTCTTGACATAGTCATACCACACCTGTCCGTTGCCGTTCAATGTGCCGTATCCGTGACCGTCGAAACGAATATTCTTCCCTCCTATCACCCATGCAGTGGACTGGTTCTGATAGCCCACGTCCAATGAGTGTGAGAGCCAGTACGAGATGTTGGTTCCCCACTGCATTTGTCAGTTGGCTACAAGAATGAAGGCAAGGGTTGTATACCAAAAGTGTGCCATAAAGGTCAATGTCACAATTGTGCAGTTCGCTTGTGTTCATCACGCTGTTGACATGGTATGTGGTATTCTGGAAGACAACCCTTCCCCCTTTTCCACATTCATGGAAGGCCTTGAGGATAGCAGGCGTATCATCAATTGATCCGGAGCCTCCTGGCTTGATAATACATGTTCGGCGATGAGACTGTCTGGTAGTGACATCTGCAATGGCCGCTAACGGCAGAAGGACAAAGGGAAGGATATTTGCAAGATACATCCTGGTTAGCTACAATGGGTTGATATTAACGATAACATACACAGCATGACCCTCATCTGATATAGCAGGTACACATCGCTCATCATTATCCCGAGTCCGAACCTTGATTGTCGCTGAGCGTCCTATACACAGCGAATTTGCCGAAAGATCGACATCAGGCGCGGGGTCACGCCATCCCCCGCTTTTTATATTGATCTGATACGAACGACGGAGAAATTCGACCAGATTCTTGGTCTTGATGCATTGACTAATTGGAATAGAATGGACGACGGAAAAAACTGTAAGGATCTGATACCGTGGATGCCGTCCTTTCAAATATGCAGGGAATGAGTATGCAAGGATCAATTGATCGTCTATAGGTATCATATCTAATCTATATCCATATCTATACTCTATACATCGAAAATAGATTGCTTGTACACCGAAGGATCAATGTATGGAGTTCCTCCACGCCTGGTGAAACCCCAGCGGATCTGGTTAGCCATGGAGATTTCCACACCGAGATGCTGAGCGAAGGTCCAGGCCAGACCGGGGTCCTTCTGGAATCCACGACCAACCAGCGCAACATCGATATCCTGCTCCTCGAGAATCTGGTTGGCCTGCTTGCCGTTGGTGATGGCGCCCACGGCGGCAACCAGCAACTTATCGCCGACGGCCTTCTTCACGGCGACGGCAAAGGGCACCTGGAAGGCAGGGCCCGACTTGATCTTCTGCTGCGCGAGAACACCACCGCTGCTGATATCAATCAGGTCGACGGCGCCCTGCTTGACCAGCTCCTGCGCGAACCGCACGGTATCCTCCGACTTCCAGCTCTGCTCCGGCAGGGTCTCCTCGCACCAGTCCGAGGCGGAAATGCGCAGGAAAACAGGGACGTTAGGGCCGACGGCCTCGCGGGTCAACTGCGCAATCTCGAGAGACAGCCGGATGCGGTTCTCGAACGACCCGCCGTACTGATCCGTGCGGTTGTTGGCGGCAGGCGACAGGAACGACGAAAGCAGGTATCCGTGCGCATTGTGAATCTCGACAAAGTCCGCACCGGCAGCAATGGCGCGCTTTGTGGCCGCCACCCAGTCCTTCTTGAACTGCTCGATCTCCTCCAAGGTCATGGCCTTGGGCTTGGCGAAGGGCTCCGCGAAGGGGATATCGCCGGGCCCCTTGACGCGATCCGGCCATCCGCCGACCTTCTCCGTTGCGATGGCAGAGAACGAGATCCAGGGAGCAACGGTGGTGGCTTTCCGGCCGGCGTGGGCGAGCTGCACGCCAATCTTCTGGCCCTGGCTATGTACGAAGTCGATGACCCGGCGCATGGGGGCGATCTGGGAGTCCTTCCACAGACCGACATCCTGAGGGGTGATGCGGCCTTCGGGCTGGACGGCGGTCGCCTCGATCATCATCAGGCCCGGACCGCGTTGCGCGATCCCACCCAGATGGGCGATGTGGTAGTCGGTCATGTGGCCATCTTGGGCAGAGTATTGGCAGAGGGGTGCCAGCTGAAGGGAATTAGCTTTCGTCGATATGACCAAGGGCAAAAAGGACTTACACCAAGGCGGTTCTGGAAGGTGACGCCACGGATGGTCAACGGCGTGAAGAGCTTGGGGATCTTCTGGCCATTGGTCTGGGGGTTAGCTGCTGTGCCAGCAGGAGGGTTTTGGGCTGGAGTGAAGTAGGGGATGCCCTCAGCAGGAGGCACGTCGATATCGGCGACAGTCATTTTGTAGTGGTAGTGATTGTGGATAGTATTGATGGACAGTACGAAACAGTTAATGTGCAGAGATCTCTATTTATATACATTTCAAAACAGGCACAGAAATCAGTAGAACATACCAATTCCAAGAATAGCTCCACTTCTTCAGGCTTGATTTACAATCTTGCCGAATAGTGGAGACTTTCTTCGGGGGAACAGTACTTGAAGCTGGATGCCGAATGGCCCAAGTCGAGGCAAATCGCGGCGATCGGTCGGCGACGTCTAGCTGTCCTTGGGTAGACATGTGGCAACGATAACGATTGCCAAGTACCGAACAGCAGAATTACCTAGAAAGGCAAAAATAAGCATCAATCCAGTGTAATTCTTGCCTCTACCGAAGAAAAATCGAATTTTGGACGTACCACAGTGGAGCATCCAGATTGATGCCTTAATCAGCAGGCGGAGACTCGGAGGAAAATCGGCCCAAAAAAGTCTCCGAGGATGACTAACCGAGGCGTTGCCAGTTGGCTCGAAATCATAAGCATTAGACATCAACAAAGGGTACGCAATTTTCTCTGAGAAGACGGCGATCTCTACGTCTGGCGGAAATGACAAATACTTGAATGCAAAGGCGATATCGCCGAATATGACATGAGTTTCAATTGTTCCCTATGTCATACTAGCAACACCTGGTGACTTGATTTTCTTCGGTAAAATGCAGTATATCTCTTAACATGCTCTTTCCAAGTCTAATGCAATATCTTGTAGCCAAGTCTATAGTCAAGGATGTATGTGTGTATATGCAAGATCACTGCAATGTAACAGTCTTGCCCTTTGGCCCTCCGCACTCATACGCCGCCAGCAGTGTATGATGATCAAGAGCCAACACACCCGGCCAGTGACTCGTATGGGGGCAAATCACCGTCGGCCGGGTCCAGGAGATACGCCCATCTTGCGGCGGCCCCGCAAAGACCATTTTGATGCACGCGTTCTTCGTCCACTGCACGTCCCGCTCGTCCTCGTCCGTCATGAAAATCACCGCCAATGAGCCATCGGCAAATGATGCAATCTGCGGCGCTCCCGCATTGTGGCCCCGAGGCGGTACATATACTTCATGCCGCCATCCCCAGGTCCGGCCGTCATCATACGAGAGCAATGCCTCGAGGTTGAACGTGCCGTACCGCGTCGTCTCGAAGACCATCACCAGTGCCTCGCGCCCATTGTCGACAGTCGACGCGATTCCAGTCATGCCATCGCGGATCCGATCGTTGATTCCCTCGAGACATTCCGGCTGCGACCACGACGACCCTTGATCGAACGATCGCACCAGCATCGTGCACTGATTATCGTGGGCGTACTCCTGAGAATAGAACAGCTGCACCTCCCCTTGACGGCCGAGCCGCATAAACGGCTCCCAGATTCCATTCGGAGGGGACTTTTCAACCGCTTGCGAAGCGTACTGCCAGCTGCGACCGCCGTCTGTCGACCGGCACACGGTTATACGGAAGTGGGTAGGCCCGTTGGGACCGAGATCGTGGTTGCGAAACGCCCCGAGCACGACAGAAGGTGCAACCTCAAGGAGGAATAGATTATCGGAATCGCCCTGGCTGCGTGTCACCTCGCCAAAGTCGTGGAATGTGCGACCACCGTCGGTACTTTTGGCAACGGTGAGGATGCGGGTTTGGCCGGCGAAGCGGGTGAAGGCGGAGAGGATAGAGCCGTCGGACAGTCTGGCGAGACGGGGGTATGTACCGGAGGGCTCAGACGAGAGAAGGCGTTCATCGTTATTGATCAATCGGTTTCCTGGAAGACGGGCGTCGTTCTGGGGCTGGAATGGCTGTGAGCCGCGTTGGTCGTCCAAGCCAAATGTTTTGAGGATTTTCTGGCCAAAGTGTCCAGGCATGCTGTGTAATGAGTCGCACTGTTCCAAAATCTATGCAGTTAGTACAATGCAATGCAGCAAGGATAGCCCTGGAGATGCTCAGGTTCTTAAGTGGTACAAGTGTCAGGGGAGATCAACCTCAGGCAATCGACTGTTGTGGGGATGCCACGATGCCTCAGGCTCATGACGTCAGATGACATGACCACGGGCGAATCATTGGTTGTCATGTGCTCGGAATAACAATGTTCCTGCTGGCCGACAACAGAATCCAGCTGCCTGAGGCCCACTCCGGCATTGGCGCATTTCCACGAATTTGATTGGAGGAAACAGGCAAGCTTATTGAGAATGCGGGGTAAGCTCATGACGAACAGTCAAGGATCGAAGCTGCTGGACAGTAACATAAGTAATGGCAGATCCTAGATAGACACCTTCATAGTATCAAGTCAGTCGAGATCTTGTAACAAACTCCTCTTCCCAGCAAGTACGATTGGCACTTTCGAGCTTCATGAGCGAGGACCAATGTGTCATGTGCCCGGATCTGGAATCCGTCGACCAACTTTAAAGCTGGAGGCAAATCCAGTCTGGTCGTACAAAGAGGGGGAGCTGCTGTCCGTGCTTGGTACCTCTTGTAGCTGATCTCATGACCCGGTAGCATTATGTGTTCCATTTTTTACATCTCGTAGGAGAGTAGGACGTTGTATCTGTCGACACTGTAGCCATCTCTATAAGATCAAGTTTGCAAAGGGAAGGTGAAATAGGATGTCGCTCCAGACATTGCTTGTACCCTCGGTACAGAGGATTATTCGTATCAGTCCTCCGCCTCATGTCCTATCTGAGACTTATGCGACTGCTCGCACAGATCACTTTGTTACTCTCCCAGACGAGCTCCTTTTGTTGATCTTTTCCTTTCTGGAATCAGAGGGGGCCCCTCATGAGATCAAACTCGCACAATGGAGTCCTATAGCCAGAGTCTGCCGACGATGGCGCGATATCGCAGAAACCCTCCTCTACCGGACGCTCCTGTTGAAAGACCGCAATCCTCGGATTGTTAAATGGTGGGCGACTGATAAACGGAGGTTGTCAAAGCTGCTGTCGACGTTGCAAAAGAGACCCCATCTTCGCTATTATACACAGTGTTTGCATGTCACCGTCGACGATGATGCGTACTCCGAGAATATCCTTCACATCATGGATCTTCTGCCTTGTGTTCGGCACGTTACCATGCAGTTGGACCTCGTTAAAACTTCATACCTCCCTCTGCTACAAAGCATCGGAAGGATGAAGCTCGAAGAACTCGAGTTCGTCGGATACGGCGCTGCTCCCTCCTTGAATCTGCTGTTCACTATCTTGAGTCAGGTGCAAAGCTTGAGGAGATTGTCCACCTACCGTTGGGGTTGGTGCCGGGATGGCAGTATATATACGAGCTTTGCACGCGACGACAGTGCTTCTATGACAACAGAAGACCTATCGCAGCTTCTTCCCGTTAACAAGCAAAGAACGTCCGCACTGACCAGCCTGGATCTGCAAGATCCCAAGACATCGATTGAAGTAACGGAATGTTTCCTTCGATGGCCCGCTCGACTGCAGGAGATCAGTCTCTTGGCACTCTGCTATGGACCATACGAGAGTCACTACGACGCCCGTAGCATCCAGCGACTGCTTTCGATTCACAAGGACTGGCTGCAAAAGATCACCCTTGGCCCTATTCCGCCCCAAGGAGAGGATATTCCCGACTTTTCAGACTTTCCTCGTCTGAACGATTTACATGTAACTCTGTACAATGCTTCGCCCAAAGAGCGTGGGACGCCGTATGCCACCTATAAAAAGATTGCAGCACCCAATCTCCGACATCTCGAGATCGATCTCGGTAATGGATGTCAGCCGAATGACCAATGGGTCGCCGAGTTCCTTGCTCTTGTGCGACATGGACGGAAGAAGTGTCGCCCACAGACATGTCTCCAATGGGTGGAGGTCAAGTTCTGCCGATGGGGCGACTTGGCCCTGGGACTCGCGCGGAGGAGCAGTATCAACTGCGAGAGTGTGCGATATCACATCGACGCTCTGTGACCACGAAGAATATCCTTCCCAGTGTCTTGAATAAACCTGCCGAAATTTCTACACCAATAAAGAAGTCGAACCTGGCAGATCGGATATTTACCGGATATTGCACCCTATCAGCTGCGCCTCGGCCACCAGACCAAGGCTCCACGCGGAGATGCCGAGTAACAATATACTTTGGATGCAGGTCGCTTAAAAGTGGACTGGACTCGAGACGTTCTCCCCGGATATCGTGAAGTTTCAGACGAATTCAGTGCCGATCTTTGCGGGATATGTCTTGCCGATACTTCATACCGGGCAACGTAAGAGACCTCATTTGGCTCCATGCCCGCTCCCTGTACATGTTGAATACTACACCAACATAGCATGATTCATAGACCAGTGCCGATCACTCTACCAGTCATGCATAAAAGGGGCGAGAAATCGTCCCTCACCAGCTCCATATTCAGCAAGCTCACAACAGAAGGTCTGAAGAAGGCAATACCATTTGAACATGAAGGCATTCACCACCCTTACTGTGTTGACCCTGACGACCTGCGTCGCGGGACATGGTTACCTCTATATCCCCAGTAGCCGCACCAGACTAGGAAACGAGGTATGCGACCACTGCCTCGTCCTAAACCCAGCTAACAAACCAGGCCGGCGTGGACTCCTGTCCCGAATGCGCCATCCTCGAACCCGTCTCGTCCTGGCCAAACCTCGACTCCGCCCCCGTCAGTCGCAGCGGACCCTGCGGCTACAACGCCCGCGACAGCATCGACTACAACCAGCCCACCAACAACTGGGGTACCAAACCAGTCGCCACCTACGCCGCCGGCCAAGAGATCGAAGTGCAGTGGTGCGTCGACCACAACGGCGACCACGGCGGCATGTTCAGCTACCGCATCTGTCAGGACCAGAGCATCGTCGACAAACTGCTCGACGCGTCGTACCTGCCGACTCTGGCGGAGAAGCAAGCCGCGGAGGACTGCTTCGAAGCCGGCCTCTTGCCTTGCACGGATGTCAATGGGCAGGAGTGTGGGTATAGTCCGGACTGTGCGCAGGGTCAGGCCTGCTGGCGCAATGACTGGTTTACCTGTAATGGGTTCCAGGCGGCGGAGAGGCCCAAGTGTCAGGGGGTGGATAATGCGCCGCTGAACTCGTGTTACACTTCTATTGCGGGTGGCTATACTGTGACGAAGAAAGTGAAGATTCCGGACTACGTGTCCAATCATACTTTGTTGTCGTTCAAGTGGAATTCGTTCCAGACGGGGCAGATTTACCTTTCTTGTGCGGATATTTCTATTTCTTAGGTATCCCGCCTAGATGGATGAATACACACCGAGGTGGATACTTTGTACATAGTTATGTCTTTGCACGCCTGTTGGATAACCTACAGACGGGGATTATCCTGGTACATCTCTGGGGTCCCAGGGGTGCCTTATTTGGACGTTAGCAAGAGTCGTGCAAGCAGAGCGCCGAGGTTATTAGTATGCGTGATATTATGAAGATAAGCTGGCTTGACAGGAGCTGCTCCTACGGCGAAAAGGACAAGGGTACTCAGGTCTAAGAGTAGGCCTCATTAATGAGGAGTCTCTCAGTATAGGAAGTTGGGTCATTGAGTATTTGTTGAAAAGAGTCTCAATCTTGATCTGTCTCACCCTTGTGTTACTGTGCAAACAAACAGCAGGCTACACATAGATAGACCCAACTCTCACCAAACCCCAGGTGTGATCCACACCAGACTCAATATCAGGTATAGGCCCCATGGGAACGATACCCTTTGGATTGATGTCCGCTTGGTTCTTAGGATCTGTTCAAGTCAGCTGATGAAGAATAATGTATCTCCTCAAACAGTACTTACAGCTTTCCTTGATATGCTTGAAATTGGTCGATTCCCTAAAACCTTCCACGTTATAGTACAGATGCTTCAACCAGTTGTTGATGGTCGGATAATTATGTCGGATTGTCCCCAGATTGCACTTGCAGTGCTGGACGTAGATGGGATCGAACCGAATGATGGTCGTGTACGCTCTCAGATCGACCTCAGTGATGTGTTTACCTAGAATGAACGGTCCACCATGGTCATGAATGAGTTGCTCAAGCCGGTTGAGCGCTCGAAAAACGGCTGGAACTGCCCTCTCGTAGTCTGCCTGAGTGGCCGCGCCGCCGGCCTTGTAAACGCCAGCGTTCAGATCTGGTTGCATCCAGGCGGTGATCTCATCAATCTGCGATCGCAGATCGACGGGGTATAGATGTACTCTTTTGTGGACTACCGGCAGAACGGGATCGAATGCATTGGGTAGCCAGCGGAGCATCTCGGCAGAGTCGTTGCTCACGATTGTTTCCGTCTCCTTGTCCCAGAGCACAGGGACGGAGTACGGTCCTTTGTAGTCTTTATCGGCTCTGAGGTAAATATCGCGCAGAAACTCACTGCCGTAGAGGTGGTCGACTGTTGCTCCGGGATATTCATCGTTGGTCTTTGGGAATCGTAATCCCTCCCCTTTGATGTTGGGGTATGGTCTGACCACGGACAGAGAGATAATATCGGTCAAGACACAGACATGACGCACTAGGTTGGGCCGGTGAGCAAACGGGCAGAAGAGACCTGTCGCCTCATTAGTCAAACTTCTTGGTTAAAAGGAGCGACAGACCAATATAGAGATGGTAGCGACCGGCGACGGGAGGAAAAGGTCCATCTTTAGAGATGACCCCGTGCCAACCATCATTCGTTCCTGGTTTATGAGCCATCTTACTGACTATCAACTACTTGAGACTTTCTCAGTTTGTTTGGAAGATTGAAAGCCCCGAAAAGCGAAATGGACAGATTGTCATCTGGCACTGAGGTAGTTAACTGACACAACCACTGCTGACGTCAGGCGGAGGAGCAGAAGTTCCCCGCATGTATTCCATCATGCCGTTGGGTATACAGTTGGAGATGCCTATTTACTATTAACCGGAGGAGTAGGACAGCTTCAATTTTATCAAAGGATTGATATGGCCAGATTTTTCTGTCATCATCGCTCACGTAGATCAGATTCTCGAATAACTGCGTAGCCGGCTTCCTCCGGCAGCTGAGGATGAGTTTCGCGAAGTATTGAACAATACCGCTGTGCAGACAAAGACAGAAGAAGGACAGTCGACATGCATCCAGCAATTCATGAGTCGATTTCCGAAAGGACGAACAACCCATAGACCTTCCTCAATCACCGAGAGACCGCTTCCCCCGATCCTACGTCCTGATCCTTCGTCCTGATCATCGTGTCCCGACAGCTGACTGGGATTTAGTCGTCTTCATCTTTGTCATTTTCATCGCTCTCGTCATTTGTATTGTCGGTTGCAACCAATGCATCAAATGCCTCGCAATCGTCGCATACGCATTTCTTCGCCCAGGGGTTGACCCATTCGTCATCGTTCTTGGCTTCGACAGTCTCGCTGACCTCTTGGATCTCTCGTTTCGACAAGTTGCGAAACTCAGAGAGGATTTCGGTGTTGGCAACCTGATATATGTGCCACAGATCCATCATGACCTCAAAGTCGACTTTCTTTCCCCGACCCCGAGGGCCCGTGTAAGCACTCAGATAGCATCCCTCGCGACCGCCGTCCAGCACGGATGCCCTGAACCTGTCTAGTTCGGCGAGTGTGTTGTACGGACTATGCCAGTCATCAGCCATTTTAAGACGATCGTCCATCACCTTGATCCAGTAGCCCCAGTCTTCGCTCCAGCCATATTCGATTCTATTGTGCTCATCGGCTCGATCATCCGATTCGTACCACCACTCTTCTTTCCATCTTCCGATTATCAGAGACGACTCATAACTTGTAGACCGGTGATGGTAAACTTACTTCTTTGAAGTCATGATGAACCTTGTGTGTTTGCAGTGGAGGCTTCCTATCAAGGCTGTGGATGGAGTAGCTGTGGATGATGGAAGAGAAAGAAGAAAAGGGGAAGATGAGGGGGAATTTATATTCAGGCAGAATCTCATGCATTCACACGTAGCATGAAGAATTTGCACATAACAGAAGCTTCCGGGCTCTGGTATAGAGTGAACGCGGGTCTGTCTATAGTGACTGGCCAGTAGAACGTCACAGTCTCCTTGTTAGTCTCTCAAGAAGCGGAGACTCACGCAGTGCGGTGTGAATATAAGGTGAAAGAAAGGAAATCATCTCCCAACAACTGTCTTCGGAGAGATCGCGGAATCTCTTGAGAGAAAGACACAGACAGAAAACATGTTCATGTTTGGACGCTTCGTCGAGCTAGGAGATGTGGATGTCCGAAAGGCGAGCAGTACAACAATAGGTCAACATTTGACGTCTCAGTGAATCTTCCCGGAACCGGTTCCAGTTTGAGACAGTATGGGCACTGTATAGGGACTCCTGCCGCAAGTTGTCTGTGGCTGCAGTAGACATGACACCCTGTCGAGCGATGCTATAGCATCGAGTCTCCACTTCTTGAGTTCTTGGGAGCTTGAATCCGAGACAGCAAAGCCGTCATATGAGAACTGCGTCAGATCGACTTTGTATCAGCTGTCCGACTCCTCGGTGTTGTCAAAGGAAGATGCATCTTCAGCCATGTGTTTGTCCTTTGAAGAGAAAAGTCATAAAAGGGCCATAGAAGCAACGCCGGGATGAATTCCTGTTTATGGTTACTGTTCCACTCTCGGAGCGGATGTGGCGCTCATTGGCCAACCACACTATGTCGCTGACCCAAAGCAGTAGATGCACCCACCGGAACATGGGCCTCCATGTATATAACAACGACCTGCCACAAAGACCATACATCGCATATCACACTCATCGAAATCAGCAGGTCATTTAGCTTCAAATAATCAGTGATCTCTTCGTCCTGCGAGTCAAAATGGCCCCCAACACTATCACCGTTTCTCTTCCTCAACTCGCGAAAATGATCGACCACTCTCTCCTCCATCCTACGATGACTGATGCCGATATCCTCGCAGGGCTAAAAATTGCCCGAGAGCATAAAGTAGCTACTGCATGCGTTAAACCATACTCCATTCCTCTCGCGGTCAAAGAATTGGCCGGGACGGATGTCCTCGTCTGCCCCGTTATCGGATTCCCGCACGGGAACAGTACCACCGAGATTAAAGTGTCGGAGGCAATCGCGGCGGTCAAAGCAGGCGGTGCTGAGATTGATATGGTTGTCAATGTTGGTAAAGTTCTCGGCGGCGATTGGGAGTACGTGACCGAGGAAATTCGGCGGATCAACGATGCCGTCAAGGCTGAAGGCGCCCTGCTAAAGGTCATCTTCGAGAATGATTATCTAAAAGACGAGCACATTGTGCGACTTTGTGAGATCTGCACAAGCCTGGATGTTGCATTTGTCAAGACGTCGACCGGGTACGGATTCGTGAAGCAGGTGGACGGGTCGTATAACTACAAGGGCGCGACGGTGAGGCATCTCAGGCTGATGCGAGAGAAGGCTGGTGAGAAGGTACAAATCAAGGCTGCTGGCGGCGTCCGAACCTTGGACGACTTGCTGCATGTCATGAGCCTGGGTGTCACTCGGATTGGCGCCACAGCTACCGTGGCTATTTTGGGGGAGGCAAGGAAGCGCGGGATCGGCAATGAACCTGTTGAAGTATCCTTCAAGCCGATGAAGGAGGCTGAGGAAACTGGTGGATACTAGGATAGTTTCGTGTTCTCATTGTAGCAGTTGGTCCAGTCTAATAGCTCAAACTTGGAGCGCATATCTTCAGCGCAATATGGTATACCTACCGAATTCTAGGATAAATGCACCTGTATTCGTTCCCTAGATATCAAATCCAGTATCTTGATGTACCAGGGGTAGAGCTTGATAAAACCCGAGGAAGCATCAAACTATCAGTGACATTGACATACTTTCAATCATATCGTGGTAGGATATCCGGCCCCCAAATCCATGCCTGTTCAAGCATTGAAGATCCTTCATCATGTAGTGTCCGAGGGTGCCATGTATCGGTTGCCAACGGGCCAGGATCGGCCCAAGAGCTGTTAACATATGTTGAGAGCACTGGACCCGTTCAGTTTGCGACGGTACAAATCAAATACTGCTTGACTCACCTTGGTCGAAATCATAGAGTGCCTCTGACACGGAAGCGTCCTCCACATACTCAAGATGCGAGAAGTTGGCGACATTGTTACCTTCTGGCGTTTCTTCACGGGTCTCTGTTTCTTGGATTTCTCGAGAATCCGACATGGTTATTTGTCGGTCCGTCGACATGACGGCCCCAGCAGCATCGTGAGGCAATCTCCTCGTACGCCGGCCGCTTGAAGATGGCTTTGGAGAAAGAGTCCCTGTTTGGATGGCACTGGCATCGCCGTTCACGCCGCTGTGTTGCTCTGGCCATTGTATAGGCTTCGAAACATCGAGCATTATGCTTAGCTCTTTGTCCAGTAGGAGTTTCGTCAGCCGCTGAAGAATATTTAGGCCCTGCGTGGCTAATACGGATCGAGATTTTAATTTCGATTGAATGGACATGACTCGATGCAGTCCAATTTTGGCTTCTTGAGCCTGCGGCGTGAGCGGCTCAACGCTGCCTAAAATCCCAAGAGCAACTCCCGCTGTGAAAGTATGGACGCTAACAAAGGCAGCAGCGTAGGTTTCAGACACAAGCTCCAGAATCGGGTTGCTCGCGAGTTCCGACAAGCTCATACCTGCGTCATGGCAGGCTTGCATCGATCGTAGAAAAGGATTCTCTTGAACTGTGACAAGACGAGACATATCATCCAGCTTCTCGTCGGCTCTAGCCACGAGTTTGTACGACAGAAGTGGCCTGTGAACTAGAATAATGGTATTTTCATAGGCCAATTTAAGCGCTAACGCCTGAAGGTGGTAGATATGATTGTCGAATCGAACACCCGATGCGCCAATATCTCGATCAAATTCTTCCATTGATGAATAGCTCGCGCTGGTAGAAGCAACCGTCTCCCACCGTAGTTTGGGAGGGATCTCGGCTCGCCAGGTACGAAGCCTTGCATCCAGATTCGCTACAATCGTAATGACCGCGCGTAAGCTTGAGCCAGTCTCACCAGAAGTCCTGTTGTTGTTTACCAAACCGGGCCCAATTCCATAGAGCTCGCCGAGGACCGCTTTTGTAAAGACTGATAATTTGGACATGTAATACTTGTAGGACAAAAGGGTCGTCTCGCATCTCAGTGGTTCATCAAAGGATATAGGTGATGCAGCATTCCCCAGCTTTGCGGACGGATTCAGTGGCTCAACATCGCAGTCTGCGTCTTTGATGCTGTGAGGGTAACCGTAAGACATCGAGCAGAACGTCTCTATCTCGTAGATCGCCCACCAGCAACGCTTCCTCGTTTCATTCTGGTTGCGCTCGATGGGAGTTAATGACAAACTGACATGGTCTTTGTTGATCTTGCGGTGTAAGTTGAGCGACTGAGCAACCCGAAGGCCACAGCCGCAGACCGGCCACGCTAGCCGGGGAGCACCGTGGAAGAGATAGTATGTTCCTAATAGGACGCACGTTTGAACTACTTCCAACGACCCAACCGAGATAATATCCAGCAGACTGGATTTAATGGCTTTCAATATGCCTTGCTTCAGCGTCTCAAGCTCGACCTCGTAGCGAGCTAGGACACGTTGCCGATGGGGCCCGGCATAGTGCGCTCCAATCGCAATGACCATCAGGAAGGTGCTGAGAAATCCTAGATCGTTGCCAACTTCACTTGCGCCATCTAATCCTGCTCTATACAGGTGTGGCCAGTTTCGACGGAAGTCATCCTGTTGAAAGATGAGCATAAACCAATGGACTCGGTCGAAATAGGTATCGACGAGCAGCTCAGCAGCTTTATATGGAGGCAACAATGACCTAAGTTCCGTCAGAGCTGGCGGCGATGAGTGCGCCAGCGAGGACATGGGACGTAGAGTCCGTCTTCTTGTCCCTGTATCGCAAGGTGGGCGGGCACCTGTCTCAATGGCTTCCTTATGCCCAATTTCGGAATTTTCCCCGACAATGTCCTGCATGGCTCCTCCAGGAATGGCGTCCATTATCGGATCACGGGGCGTTGCAACATTGTGCAATTGAAATGCCTGTTTCTTTTATCAGAAACCAGAGTTGTTTAATATGAACAGGGTTTCTCACGCCATTAACTAAAGCCAGGGTCGAGCTTGAGTTCCATATCGGATGGTTAGCCTTCTTAAGACACTCATCCGTAGAAGAACCAGGATCTGTCCCTGTATGGCAAATCTGGGCTTGTTCTGAAGAGTTTGCACTCGCATCAGGAAGCGCTATCCGCGGTCGTTTAGAAGGTCGTTCGATGGTAGAGTGCTGGCCGTGTCGGTAAACTCTCCAGCGGCTGGTCGTGGCTGGGAGACAATCAGTCCCGGCTCTGCGGCATAGTGTGCAAGGACGGTTGACATCACACTAGAGAATACGCCTTAGTTCATTTTTGATGACAGAGGACGCATAATGACCTTTAATTTCTGGCGGCGACATCTTTGGCACGCGGTCGGCACCTTTCTTGGATTTCTTGCAGAGACCATTGAGACTTCATTCTCCATGTCATCACTCATCACAATATTAGGTGGCTCAAGCATGAGCGGTCATATTTCAGTTCTTTCCTGTGAAATAGCTTCTTTGTAATGTAATAGAACCATGACTGGCCCTTGGGGAGGATCGATGGATGGATGGATGGAGAGAACCAAGTAAATAAGTCGTCCTGTGTGGGATAAATGTCGATGTGCATGCTTATCGGGTTTGGTGCCTGAGGTGTCAGTCGGTCTATGTCCCATCACCAGTTTCTAACGCTTCAATTTGCTGAAACTGGACGAACTTTCTATGAATGGATGTAGGAAGCCATTGACCTCATACTCCAATATAGTGACTTTGTTAATATGTAGTCCCCTAAATTAGGAATGTAGTTGCAGGTGCACCACGAGAACTTCTTGTTCGCGTATCCGTCACTGGGGACATAGTATCGTCTACGGGGATGCTTGAATGGCATTCAGATCGCCCAAGAACTTCCAGCCATAAGAAGTAGCCTTTTTATAGAGCCAATCTACCCTTCTCGCAATCTAATAGCTCCTCGGTAATTGCAGCACCTTTTCACTGACATAATTCAATATCATCTCCCGACTCACCGGGGCAATTCGAGGAACCAGACATTCCCTCAGATACCGCTCAACATCATACTCCATTGCATAACCCATTCCTCCAAGCGTCAGAACAGCTCTTTCACATGCCGTAAATGCTGCCTCAGCAGCAAGATACTTGGCGCTGTTACAAGCCACCCCGACCGAATGGAAGGCAATCGAGCTATCCGTTCGCGAGGCATCATACAATCGCGCAGCATGGTAAGTCGCTAACTTGGCCGCTTCAAGGTTCATATACGCATCTGCCAGCGGATGTGCAATGCCCTGGTTCTGTCCGATGGGACGTCCAAATACCACGCGGTCGTTGGCGTAGTGCGTCGCGCGCTCGAGCGCTGCATAACCCAGACCTAATGCTTCACCGGCAAGCAAACAGCGTTCCGCGTTCATCCCGTGGAGGATGATCTTGAATCCTTCATTTTCTTCTCCTACCAACGTGTTTGCGGGGATCTGGTAATTGTCGAAGAAGACCTCGTTGGCGTCGACAGCGCGACCGCCCATTTTCTTGATCTTGCGCATGTCCAGACCGGGTTTGGCGCGGTCAAGGTCAATGCAAAACATTGATAAACCGTGTGTAGATCTCTTCACTTCCTCGACGGGGGTTGTACGCGCGAGCAGAATCATCTTGGACGCGACCTGTGCACAGGTGATCCAAATCTTTTGCCCGGTGACCGAGTATGAATCACCTGAAGCGTTTTTGGTGGCGGTGGTTTTGAGTTTCAACGTCTCCAGGCCCGTGTTAGGCTCTGTGACGCCGAAGCAGGTCCGCCATGTCCCATTGATGATTTTGGGAATCGTCTCCTCGAGCTGTTCCTTGGTGCCGAACTTGGCCAGCGGTTGTGTCGCATACACGTTGGCATGGATGGCCTGAGCACCGGCCATCCCTGCGCCGGATTGAGTAATGGTCTGCATCATCATTGTAGCTTCTGAGATCCCTGCTCACCGTCAGTAGCCTGAACTCTGGCTACCTTGAACGTGATGTACTGACCCAGTCCAGCACCTCCCAATTCCTCCGGCAAAGCAATCCCCAACCATCCATCCTTGGCTAGCGCGGCATGGAACTCTTTGGGATCGCGCTCATTCTGATCACAGTCCTGCCAGTAGGTGTTGGGAAATTTAGAGGTGATGGCTGAGATGGCGTCGCGGACAGTAAGTTGTTCTTCAGTGAAGCCCGTCAGTTCCATCAGCGGCCGACGCGCCGAGGTTGAGAAGCGCGACCGAACCAGCGGCCACTGCAGTCGGAGAGCTAATCTCCTATAACGAGGTGCTCTTGTGACCAGATGTGACATATCGAATCATTGACATATAGACTCTTGTTCTGTCGAGGCTGAGAAATGACCATATAAACCATGCTAGAAAATCAGGCCGTTTAACCGTCATAGCCGTTAACCGGCATGTAACACCGAACCCCGCACATCCCAGACGTCGATCATTTTGGGGTAAGGTGAGCATTTTGATCTCCTTATATGAAGTAATAAAATAGACGCATGTCTCTAGAAATGAATATCGCGAGAAATTGACGCGTAATGGCCCTCAGTCGGCCCAATGTCCGGCCTCTGCCGCGACAATTCCTGATCATCCACCGCAACTCGTCAACCAACACCTCCGCTACCCAGGATAACACTCAACGACAACCAAAAAACGGCCCCTTGTCCGGCATCACAGTAGTCAGTCTGGAACAAGCCATTGCAGCGCCATTCTGCACCCGCCAACTAGCTGATCTCGGCGCTCGCGTCATCAAAATTTAGCGCCCCAAGGTAGGTGACTGACACTCGCGTCAACGGCCTCTCTTCGCACTTTGTCTGGACCAACCGGTCAAAGGAAAGCCGGGCCCTCGATGTCAAGATCCCCGCGACCATCTCATACTCATGCGACTAGTTTCCCGCGCAGACGTTCTAGTTCAGAACCTCGCCCCAGGAGCAAGCGCCCGACTAGGCTTGTCATTCGCAGACTTATCAGAAAAGCACCCCTCTCTGATCGTCTGCAACATCTCCGGCTACAGGCCGGACGGGCCTTACCGCGACAAGAAAGCATACGAGCTCCTTATTCAAAGCGAAGCGCGTCTGCTCTCCGCCACGGGGACGGCGACCGAGCCAGCAAAAGTTGGTATCTCGATTGCGGACATCTGCGCGGGCAGCTACGCATACTCAAATATCCTTGCTGCCTTGTTTGAGCGTTAAAAGGACCCAGAGCGCCGTGGACGCAATACTCATATCTCCATGCTGGAGAGTATGGTCGAGTGGATGGAATTTCTATGTACTATACCCACGGGGACAGCCGGGCCCAACCCCTGCTGGTGCGTCACATGCGGCGATCTATCCGTATGGACCATTTGAAACGGGCAATAGGACGGTTCTGCTGGGGATTCAGAATGTGCGAAAATGGGCTAAGTTTTCGAGATGGTGCTGGAAAAGCCGGAGATGGCAGTGGATGAGCGCTTCTGTAAGAATTCCTTGCGGGTGAAGTATCGCGATGCATGGAGGGAAACGATTTGTAAAGTATTTGCAGCTTACTCTGCTGAGGGGATATTACGGCGCCTGGATGAGGCTGGCATTGCGAATGCCAGCGCGAACGATATGCAAGGCGTATGGAACCACCATCCGCAACTGAGAGCCAGGCAGCGCTGGACGCAGATACAGACATCTGCAGGGACTGTGCCAGCGCTGTTCCCCCCGGAAATGGGGCCAGATGGGTTTAAAGCTAAAATGGGTGCAGTGCCAGAGATTGGAAAGCATAAGAGTCCATATTGGCTGAATTGGGGATGGATACAGACATAGGATAAAGGGGCTTTGATAGGTAGCATCTTATGGCGCATGTGTTGGGGATTCCGTACAACTATCCTTCTTCCTCTCGTTGTCCATGGCTATGAGCACGAAGCTGCTGCCTGAGAGTATTCCGCTTCTTATTGGGCGCTTCGAAAAGAGGATGCGACAGGGATTCTCGGTATCGTTTAGTAGTCGCCAACCATCACCAAATTATTCAAGGTTGACATAGAGAAGTTGAAAAGTCAGACAAACTGGGTGAGAGTCCATCTGGATTAATATAGTTCTTTGTCACCCTATTCCGACAAGTAGAGCAACTCAGCAGATCTTCTGAATCACATTGGTCTTACCATGAGAATCCTGTTCCTACTTGTCTCTTCCATCATAGTTTGTATCTTCGGATCGAAGTATCGGAGAAATCACAGAGAAAACCAGGCAAAGGAAGGGAATCATTATACCCCTTACGATTATTCTACATCCTCTGTCACGGCACAGCCTCCCCCATACAAAGCATGAGTGCATTTGCCGTCGCTCAACTCGCCATCTACTCCGTTCTCGTATGTCCAGCGGTGTATCTGACGCTGTGCCATCATCGGAGAGGGTTGTTAGGCTGGGGCTATCTGCTGGCGTTTTGTATACTGCGAATCACCGGCGGTGCACTCTCGATTCACAGTAGCGGCTCCGGGGCAAAGATTATTTCAAGCGTTGGGATCTCGCCAATGCTGCTTGCTCTGGACGGGATACTACATGAAGCGTGCGTTATCCCCCTAGGAAACAACATGACTTTACTGACTTAGCTGAGCAGAAGGGTGTACCGTAACCGAAACTTGAACAAACGTTTAGAATACGCATTTATGGCCTTCGTCCATGTGGTCGTTGCCACCGGAGTTGCCATGGTTGGCACAGGAGCCGGCGATCTAGCCGGGAAGAACCCCAAAGCGAGCTATCAGACGAATCTCGACGTTGGAATGGCGTTGCTCGAGGCCTGTTGGGCAATATTGACCATCTGGGCTTTGTGGACATTGAAGGATTGCAGTGAGAAGACCATTTCAGGGGTGAAGGAAGGCAAAATGGTAGACTTGACCCTAACACGAGAGGATTCTGCAAGTCAGTGTGCCCATCACCAGTGCTAATGCCTTAAATGCTAGCTCCTCCACGGCGTGCTCTTAGCGACGACGTTTGTCGGTATCCGGGTTACGTACGGACTGATCGCGGAGTCAACCCAGAAACAAAATCTGAACCCAGTGACTGGCTCCCTAGCCATTCGTACTGTCCTCGACCTCCTACCTGAGCTCATTACAACTTTGATCTTGATGTTTGTTGGCTTTCGTACACGACATATCGGTGGATATAATTGCCGAATGGTGCAGACAGGCGAGACATAAACGGAAGCATGCTGGATTGGATTGGGGGAAGAGAGACGAGAAGAGGTTGAGTAACATGTTTAGTGGTGTAGGATGTGGCCCCTCTGAGTGAAGGAAGGCTCTTCTTTGCTTTCATTTATGCTTACGGGTTGATTTTGTTGAGTCTTGCCCGAGACGTAATGCTGAGAGATCGCTTTCAATCAAGTGTTGAACCGATTATACCCATGCATGACACTGAGGAGAATTGTCTTCACTGATTTGGCTTCTATTCTTCCGAAACCGTAGAAATAAAAAGCGCGAGTTGCAGATGGGAGGAAAAGAGCCCAATCAGGGAAATCCTACTGCCTGCAAGCCAGGGCGGGGTTTGAGGCCTAGGTAGGGTAAATTCGCGCCGCTCACTTTCTTTTCCCTCCCCTTCCACCGGATCAATCCTGTTTTTGCTCGATCATCCGGGATATAGAGTCGGTCCATGAGCCTTGAATGTGCACAATGTACCTGGAACCCCTGCAGATTTACCTTTACACAGTGCTTCGGGTACCCTACAGCAGGGGGATCGGCTATGACCCAGACACTCAGGGTCGCAACAATGACTGATGCCCCTCAAAATCAAGAAGAGCCAGCCAGTCATGTGTACAAGAAGAATGGCCCGCGACTGGCTCATCGAAAATCCCGAAACGGATGCCAGCGGTGCCGCGCTCGCAGGGTTAAGGTTAGTATGTTGAAAACGTGACATGTTTCCCCGCCGATCGGACTAATACCACGCCAGTGTGATGAAGCGCGTCCAGTATGCCGAGACTGTCATAGACATCGGGTCGCCTGTCTCTATGACAGGTCAGAAGGCCAACCTGCTACCGCTCAAACCGAACCGCAACGCAGCTCCGGGGCTCCTCCACCTCCCCCTCCCACGCAGATAGCATTGGCTGGCAGTTACGAAGCTGCTACGGCTACTGCAATCACAGCAATGTGCAGTCGCCAATGGTGGGAAGGTGAATATCATGCGTACACAGAGCTGCGTCTCATGCATCATTTCACCGTAGGAACTAGCCTCACCTTGCCAGGAGCCCATCTCCAGAGCATCAAAGACTGCTGGTCAATCGAGGTTCCCAAACTAGCCTTTGTCTACAAACCACTGCTGTATGCCATTTTTGCAATATCTGCATTGCATCTTTGCAGGAGCAAATCAAACGAGACGGACTTGATCGGCGTTCGGGCGGTCTATCTAGAGCGGGCTTTGCGAGACCACAGAGTGTGCGTGGGAAGTATAGATACCAGAATTGCCGACGCAGCGTGTTTTACGTGCATTCTCTTACTTATCGACGCGTTTACGTCTTTGCAAGATCGTCCCCTTGACCCATACAGACCGCCGATGGAATGGATGCAATTGGTCAGAGGCTCGGTAGCGGTATTCGATGCTGCGCTCAGCGCCATTCAAGAGAGCAAGTCAGCTAGAATCTTTTCTATCATTCATTCATCGCCTTCATTCACGGAGCCAAACTTGACCGCTGGCAGCTGCGATTGCGGCCATTTCTCGTATTTGCTGCCATCCGAAGACTTTGTTGATGGTGATGGCGAACAATTACGGCCCCCAAAACTGGAGGTATACAGGTCGACAGTGGCTTATCTCAACTCCGTTTGGCTCGCTATAGAAGCACGGGAGCATCCGGCAATGATATGTCGACGTCTCATGGTGTTTCCCTTGATCGTTTCCCCAGAATTCCTCAAGCTACTCCAGGAGATGGAGAGCCGTGCTCTGGTAATTTTAGCTCATTACTTTGCGCTTTCAGCTACATTGACCGATATCTGGTGGATCGGTCACACTGCACATAGGGAAGTTCTCGCCATTGAAAAAATGGTCAATGGGCAGTGGGTGACCTCAATGTCATGGCCGCTCACTACAGTCGCATCACATTGCAGAATATGTACACAAAGTTAATCATGGACCCGTTCGATCACCTCCGTAATGCCCCCTTCAGTAACTGCACTTTCAATTAGGGGCATCTTCAAAGGCACCAACGGCCGGGTCTGCTTGAAGTGTTCACTCGCCCATCGTATATACGTGGCAAATGTTCGGTATTAATCTAAAAGGGATGGACTACCTAGTTAGAACCCTCTTCTAAGGCTCTAGCACTAATTTAAGAATAGAAGCTTTATGCATATACTTCCTATACCTACTAAAACCCTGGTCAGGGCTGTAATATTGGCTGAATTTGGGATGATAAGGACCTGGACTAGGTAGCACTGGGACAGACAGTAATTCAACATTTTAAGCTCTTACAGGTGATTTTATACGCTATACTCACTGTATTATGGGAGGTTTTCAAAGAAGCGATAAAGAAGAGGAGAATAGCGGTGGTGCTGGGTTTTAGTGTTTTCCGGTGCGTGGAGGATAGTACCCTTCGAACATTTGGCCTTTCGGATCCCACTGTTGTACAGATGTGAGGTAATACAGGCGAAAGAAGTGATGTGGCAGAACATAGTCGCAATGTTAATATCCCAAAGACACCAGCAACCCGAGAAGATGTTTCAGGAAAGAAGACCAATTCAGCCGCAGCAAACGTCTCCCCAGCCAACAGACATTACAGCGACAAATCGATAGTACGGCCTGTTTGATTTCACGGGGTAGTAGAAGAGCTGTGGAGCCAATGCGAAGCAAATGCCCCGTCAAGCGGGGGAGCCATTCCTTGAAGCAGTTTGTGTTTCATGTTTCATGGAACAACGCAGGCAGTATTCATGATCATCTAAGTCTAGTCCGGTGTTGTGAGTCTGTGGAGTTCTACATCAGTGAAACATGATAGGCCAATGCCGAATATCCAAGCTCCAAGTCCATCGACCAACGTCTGTTCAGCAGTGCTCGTTTCCTTAGAAAGAAGATCATCATGGGGCACGTACTCCGTAGATCCATACCATATCTGAATCAAGCTATGCTCATGCCCCGATGATATTGATCTATTCGTCCTTTTGCAAATCTGAGATAACTACTTCTCGAAAGCAGATTAGAATCCACGCAATCTTTTTTCTTAGCCCTTACCGCTATTTCGGTGCAACATAATATGCCAACTGTACGACTTCTGCGGAGTATTTGTACCACTACTCGGGATTTCCGAAGCTCGGGAAAGATAGCAGGCGATTGCTAATAGAAATCCCCACTGCGGATTCCCGACACCGGATTATTCCCGAGACGACGGCGTGTCCCCGCTACCGAGTCAAGTTTTCCCACAGAGATAAGGAGATATAATTCAGGGGATCCAGACAGCATGACTCACTTGGATCTCTTACTTTTTCCTGACATTCTTGCATTAATTCCTGTGGTTGGTTCTACTGTCATTTAAAGCCAAATCTTCCAGACAATGCCGGCGTCAGATATCAGTGACACAGAGCTCCCTCCTCCATACAATTTTATCGATGATTACAGCGAGGGAGCTCATCCGCAGATTCTAGAATCTCTGTTACGGTCAAACACCGCACAGCAATCGTCCTACGGGACAGACGAGTTCAGCAATGAAGCTCGACGGCTGATCCGGGAGAAGCTCAACGCCAGCGAGGAGGAAGTTGCCATTCATTTTGTCCCTAGCGGAACATCAGCCAATTTAATTTCGATTGCTAGCTGTTTACGGCCCTACGAGGCCGTCATGGCTGTGGAGTCAGGGCATATTGTGTCCAAGGAAGCCGGTGCAATCGAAGCCACAGGGCACAAGATGATCCTAGTCCCTGGAGTAAACGGGAAAATGACCCCAGCGAACCTGGAGCGCGTATTCGAGCAGAATCAGTTCTTTCCACACATGGCCAAGCCGAGGCTGGTGTACATCTCCAACGCAACCGAGCTGGGAACGATCTACACAAAGGCCGAACTGTCAGCCCTCTCGTCAGTCTGCAAACGACTCGGTCTGCTCATCCTGGTCGACGGTGCACGATTGGGAGTAGCGCTGAGCGCAAAGAACAACGACCTGACCCTGCGCGATATGGTCGACCTCACCGATATCTTCTGGATTGGCGGGACCAAGATGGGAGCACTGCTGGGTGAGGCAATTGTAGTCAAACACCACCTGGCTGAGGGCTTTGTTTTCCACCTCAAACAGCACGGGGCTCTGCTGGCCAAGTCCCGTGTGATGGGTATTCAGTTTGTCGAGCTTTTCCGGACGCATCTGTTCTTCGATCTAGCGACGCATGCGAACAACATGGCAGCGAAGATCTCGGCCAACTTTGAGAAGCTAGGGTATAGTCTCGCAGCACAGACGGAGACCAACCAAGTATTTGCTATCCTACCCGACCGGGTGGTTCGCAGACTACAGGATCGGTTTGGGTTCTATATATGGGAGAAGCGCGAGGATGGACATGCGGTGGTTCGGATTGTGACCTCATGGGCAACGGATTCCCTTCAAGTGGACAAGTTCAATAGCTGGGTGCAGCAATGGACCGAGCTGGATGTATGATGCATATGATCAACGGCATTTGTGATGAGTTAGCGATAGACAGCCTGCATAGCATTAATCTTAATGATCATTTTATTCTCCGAGGTGCGGATCATGAAGGAGAGAGCGGAATATATATTGAGACTACCCCATGTCAAACAAGACAACACTGGGAAATATTTCTAAACTCGTTCTATCTGTCGATCACTATCTATGGCAGACTAGAAGGAATCTAGAACAAGATTTCCTTTTTTCTTTCGATATTAGGGAAGAACCGAAAAAGAAGCTTCTTTGTCATACGCTTTACCCGATTTGGAAGGATTGTGGTTATCTCCGCACCGGGAGTGAAATCATCATTTACCGGAAGCCTGGAACCATTCCCGACCACGTAACCATCAGTACATGGCTGCTTCTGAAGATCATCATCATCTCATCTCAATTGAGGGACTGAAAGACAATGGCAGATCAATGAGTTGATCTTGTCAATCGGTCATTGAGAATGCGACTTTCAGTATCCTGCGATAGCTGCCGGTATGTCTCTTCTTCCTCTGTAGTCCGTGTGGTGATCCTCGGGAATCGGGAATAACGTCCAAACGAGCCAATCCGTCAGCATGGCCTGGACTTACCACTCGGATTGATTCGCTGATTATTATTGTTGTTCTGTATAGTCAAGCAAAGGTCAAATGCGTTCATGAAGGCCGGCCACCATGTCGTCGCTGTCAACGGGCGAAACTGACCGACTGTCAGTTGACGGACACATATTCTTCCCCGTCAAGAAGATCAAAAAGAAACACATTGAAATCACAGAGACAGCGAAGAGTGATATCTGAACCCACAACCGCTCTGAATAGCCCACCATTACCTCCTGAACCGCAACCCGACCGTCCATCGCCATGGTGCGCTGAGAACCCCGTGGAGCCCTTGCCTTCATCCACCATCATTGCGGCGTGCGAGACCTATCGCAAGAAATTCCCCGTCGCCAATTTCCTCCACTATCCGTCTCTGATTGCAGAATTATCGTCAAATCCCGCCTCGATTGACCCAGTTTTTATTGCAGCTCTGCTGTCACTATGTGTGAGGTTCATGCCCGATCACAATCTGGAGGCAGCCGAAACATATGCCGAATATGCTCGCAAGCAGCTCGCGCATCGCGCGTTCGAGGCCCCGTCGCTCTATCTTGCGCAGTCTTTGGTGATGATCACCTTTTACGAATGGGGGTCCGGTCGCCCCTATAAGGCCTGGATGTACAGTGGTAGGTCCGCGGTTCACGTTCCCTATATGAGGCTAATGATGTCAGGAATGGCAACGTACATGATCCAGTCCCTCCTCAAGACGGCCGACGACAGCATGGAGCATAATCCGCAGGACTTCCAGGCTAGCCAAACTCAGTACGAGCAGCTGGTCCGCACGTACTGGTGCTGTTTCGCGCAAGACTGTGAGCTGAGTTCCGGAGCACGTCAGCATTTCGCCCTTTCCTTTCGACAGATTTCAGTTCCGTTGCCGACCAGTGACCAGGACTTCAACTTTGGTCGCCTTTCATCGCATCGCTTGATGCCCTCCGATATGAGCAAGCATTCCCCGTTGTCAAGGAATCTAACGATCGACTATGGACTGACAATTGTCACCCGTGGGTTCGATATCTTCGTGCGGATTCTGCGGTTCGCGAACGAGAGTCGGCGCGGTCGGACATTGACCTTTCCTCAAGATCCTTCATCGCCGCGAGTAGTCTGGCAGCGCTTGAAGGAGGAGTTAGACGAGTGGAGGTTTCTGCAAGATGTAACGGTGCGATACCCAGCCACCAGTGCACAGGCGCATGTTGCGCTGGGATACGGCGAGCTGTTCGCATACATCAATCTGGTCTATTTTATGAGGTATACCTACCTTTCTGCCAACTATTGGGCGGTTCTAACAACGGCTTAGTATTCTCTTTCTGTTCCGAGACCAGTTCCTGTCCAGTCTCAAACCTCATGCCGACTTGCTCCAAGATTTGCAGCCCTTGAGTAATATAGATGAGTCTCAGGCTATCCGGCAACTCTTCGAAGCAGCACAGAATATTGGCGGCATCCTTTCCGCCTTGGAAGTCTCCGGAGCACCGGTAATCACACCATACTCTGGTTTCAGTATTTTTGTTGCGGCTCATATCAACATGTACGGGACTGTGTGCCCGCAGCGATATCCTGGGGGCATCGAGCGAGCGGAAGAGGAGAAAAGGGCCAACCTGGCCTATCTGGAACGACTGAGCAAATACTGGCCCGTTGGACAAAATTGGGTGAGCATCGGTCTTCCGGTTTGTAGTTGATGCAGTACATAGCTGACCAACACAGTGGCGAACAGTCCAGGAAGCCAACAGATTCTACGAGATAGCCCGAAACAATCAGATGCACGTGCGTGACGGGGCAGGCCATCTCACAATTGCCGGGACCTTGGACGAATATGGTGATATTCGAAGTGTACGACCGCGTCAGGAAGAGTCCCAACATATTCTGGAGCGGGAGAATATGCCAACCGCGACTAGGAATCGGAATAATCATCAAGCGTTAGGGAGTGATGGTCGTCATCCTGGGACAGCGCCCATAGATGCAGTGCCTTTGAGTGAATCCCATGAACTGGAGGTGGAGATGCTCCAGTGGCCATTCATTGATGAATCATGGTCGTTGGGCTTTGACACCGGATTTGATACTGCATGGCCATCGTTGGGGGTTGGTTCCTAGAAACCATCGAAGGCTTCAAATTTGAAATGGAATACCTACTCAACTAGGTCTTGGAGATGAGATCCATAGTTAACTGAACAGATACCAACATCAACACAACGTAAAAGCAGTGTATCTACTACTAGGATAGGCACCATTTGAATTATTTGGGGAGAGCATCTGGGGTGACCAGTTGGCTGGTCTTCATATTTCTTGTCCGTAAAGGGAAGCCAAGACCTACGCAGTCTCCAAGGTACTCACCCTCGTCTAGTTAAATATAGTCGACTCGCTCCTCTTCCCTTCTCTTCGATGCCAATGTCTCCTGGCTCCGTAGCTGGGCAATTGAATCAACTTGATTCTTCACTCGCTTGCTTTCAAGCAGGGCTGACTCTATCTCGCCATCTAAGTCGTTCTCGTCACATCACAATATGTGATGCGTGTCTCGGATTTACTCGGCACTGAAATGACAGAAAATTTTACTACATCATGATCATGGCTGGCTTTGATGAACAGCTTGATTGAGGATATATTTCGCTTTGCTACTGTCCACACTGACGTTCCAGGTTGAAGCCGTAAACTGCTTCGCATGTCCGGGACCTGACCTTCCCTTGCTCCCAGAGGCATCAACAGAGTCAAACTGATTTTGATCCGACGGCTCCGATCCTGGCTCCGGCCTGCATCCTGACTGAACAACCAATTGTGGTGCTCGGTCGGAATGAGTCACTCCTTTGTGTCGCTTCTCGACTGACTATGACTAATCCCGGCGAATAGACGAGGGAATTCCCCACATTTCGCCGATTTTGCCTCTCAGTGGAAGTCAGGTGTCAATAGTATGGCCTGCAGACTATGGACTGCGTCTGGCACCGATAGGGCTCCGAGGCATTTCTGCTGCTTGGTCTCTGTGCGCTCCTATGACATCGTTGGCGAGCTGAGACACCCCGGCCGAGGTCAACGTCCGACCCTGGCAGGTCGCCGTTCTGACCTGTGTCACATCGGTTTTTGCTAGACAGGAAAATTCTGGGCTACAGTCTTTTATGAGGGAGCGACTCGCTGTTTTGCAAGCTATTCTGCAGCTTGAGAGAGCCCGACAACCAAAATTGTTCTTTGAAGATTTTCCTTCTGTACATAATTTTTGTCACACAAACAATATTCTCCGGCTTCATCATGTTTTCCCATCTCAAACGCGAACACCGTCTGATCCTGGTAATCAGCATTTCTGCGTCTTTCTTTCTGGCAGAAATCGCAGGTAAAGTTTGATGTCTGCATGTCCAGCGGCCGCCTGGTTGACGAAATATTTTCAGTCGGATTTTATACCCGCTCTCTGGCCCTGGTCGCAGACGCTTTCCATTATGTGGGTAGCATATATCGATGATGTAGAAGCGATACTGATATACTTGCAGCTGAATGATCTTGTCGGCTTCATTGTGGCGCTGGTAGCACTCAAGGTAACGAAGCTCCTCCTTGTACGCGAGTAAAGCTAAATAGTCAGATCTCCCAACGCAGCAGACACCCTAAAGAGCTATCTTTCGGCTGGCAGCGTGCACAACTATTGGGCGCCTTTTTCAACGGCGTTTTCCTCCTGTCTTTGGGAATCAGCATCTTTCTTCAATCCATCGATCGCTTTGTGTCGTTAGAGCGTATGGTATATCGCCCTGGTTGATGATGGCGCACTGACAACTGCAGGCATTGAAAACCCCAAGCTTGTGCTGATCGTGGGCTGCGTCGGATTGGCTTTGAACCTGATCAGTGGATTGTTCCTGCATGGTTCGTTTCCACCCAAAAGAGGATTGAGCATCAGACTAAGTGCCTAGAACACGACCACGACCATATTGAAAGCAATACCCCAGGTTTATCTGATAACGACCTGGAACTTTCGACGCCCTTGTCTAGGCTCGAACGCAGGAATTCCTTTTCCACTCGGGTAAGTCGTTGCGTTGCGTCATCTTTCCCAGCTAAGACCATTTATCAGGTCCTGCGCCCTCACGTCGAGCACCGACACAATGTCAAGTCACAAGCAAAAAAGGGCCATGATCTCGGGATGATGGGTGTCCTGATCCATGTACTCGGTGATGCAGCAAACAATCTCGGGGTTATTATTGCTGCGCTGGTGATCTGGAAGGCCAAATATGACGGAAGATATTATGCCGATCCTGCCGTGAGCATGGCGATTGCGATCGTGATTCTCCTCTCGTCGCTTCCTCTAGGCATGTAGCACAGTCAGACTCTATGGACTGCTACTGACTTAATGTAGTGCGGAAAAGTGGAACTATTCTGCTGCAGAGTGTTCCGCTAGGCGTCGACCCGGAAGATGTCAAGCATGATCTTGAAGCTGTAAGTATTGATCCGGGGTATGTTTCGTAGGTTAACCCGCTCCTAGATTCCCGGTGTTGAATCCGTCCATGAACTCCACATCTGGCAGCTCAACCAGGAAAAAGCCCTTGCATCAGTGCATCTGGCAGTCTCCAATGAACTAATCGCCGATTTTATGGACAAGGCCAAAATTATCAATGAGTGCTTCCATGCGTACGGGATCCATTCCACGACCTTGCAGCCAGAGCATGTCCGTCCGATTCCCAGCGACACTCGGTCAATCCAGGGCCGGGAAACTACAGAGTTGATTGTTGATGGAGGAGTCAAGAAGCGCCATGTTGTCGACCCCAATTCTGGCTGTTCGTCGGAAACCCTGGCGACATGTTTGATCAATTGTGGGAGTACCTGTGAAGGGTACACATGCTGCAGCCGGGATAAGTCGCTCTAAGGGTCTGATTCTAATTGCAAGATGTCCAAGGGGATGAATGGAATTGTTCAGATGATATCATGAGACGTCGGGTTCGGGTCGGGATGCCGTCGTGAGGTCATCTCCGGCATATCCGTAACGCACAACGTACCCATTTCTTATTCTAATTAATCTTCTTAACCAGTGCGTACTATAATGGGCACTATTTATTCTTATTGCGAGTCATGTTCATCTTGACTATTAGAATGACCTGGAGGAAGATGTAGGCCTGAACACAAATTAGCCGGGAACGACGGAAGGCCGTGGTCAGACACATTAATTCCTCATATGCAATAGAACAAGGCATAGCTGCATGATCTATTGAATTTAAGCGTAGAAGATATGCATCGAACAGTTGAGCAGCTCAAGAGTGGTTATGGTTGCGTGGAAATGCAGCTATGGGTAGTAGTACACTGTTACACACTCTGCCTCTAGCCTATCCCAAGCCAGTAAGGATTAATAACGTAGCTCCACTGAGAAAGACGATAGATCGTAGCCGAGTACGAGGTCGACAACAGCCTCATCAATGACATCAGGACTGGAACACTCAATCTCATTGAGTCATTATCCAGCTAAGTTGACCGGAGAAAGGCAGCAATTGGACCAGCGCATGATCTCGCTCAATTGCAGCATGACCGTCGCTTTCTTGATGATGGATGCCCATATCGCATGCGCCCAGAGCCTAATTCTCGTATAGAACAGGCAGCGGGATGATCGACACAGCCCCGTTGCATAGCTCGTATCTTATTTTCATTACCCTTTTGGGCCTGGAGTGTCGGGCGCACCGGAGGTGCTCGTATTTCTGATGTATATAAGGAGAAGTGAGTATGTCCAGGTCACAGGCCCCCAATCTACTTCACTCTGCAGTCTACTCCTCTGTATCACATCGGTCACTATGAAACGTCTTCTATTGGCCATTTTCTTTGCTACAGCAGCACTTGCTGCCCCGGATTCACGCCGGTGCCGATGTCAACCCCATCAACCATGCTGGCCATCACCACAGGAGTGGAATGCCCTCAACCGCTCAATTGACGGCAACCTGGTCGCAGTGCAGCCTGTAGCTGCCCCTTGCCATGTCAACCCCAACAGCACCGCCTGCCAGCAAGTCACAGCGCAGTGGTCCAACTCCGTCTGGCGCGCCGCCCAGCCCGGTGCCCTGCAATGGGAGAACTGGGGAGCCTGGCCGGAACACAATGAGAGCTGCTATATCGAGACTGCGCCATATATGTGCACGCAGGGGCGTATCTCGCTCTACTCCGCCGTGGTGCAGAACGCACGACACATCCAGGAGGCTGTCCGGTTCGCAAAGCGGCATAACATCCGGCTTGCGGTCAAGAACTCCGGCCATGACTTTCTTGGACGCTCGGCGGCTCCGAACTCCCTTCAGATCTTGACCAACCGAATGAAGGGACTACAGACCGTAAATGATTTTGTGCCAAAGGGAGCGCCGAAACATAAAGGCGAAGGCCCGGCTGTGACGCTGGATGCTGGGATTAGTCTGCAGGAGATGTATGCCGCTCTTGGCAAGCAGAACAGGACGGTAGTGGGTGGCACTGCTCACACTGTTGGGCCGACCGGAGGGTATATCCAAGGAGGTGGTCATTCTTTTTTGAGCCCATGGAAGGGGCTGGCGTCGGATAATGCCCTGGAGTTTAGTGTCGTCACGGCTTCGGTAAGTTGATCTTTTTCTTAGGGATAGTGCACGGTAATGACACGCTCCAGGGAGATTTAGTCACTGCGAATGCCTACCAGAATTCGGACCTGTTCTGGGCGCTGCGAGGAGGCGGTGGCGGCACCTTTGGCATCGTCACCCAAGTCACCGTTCGTACATTCGAGGAAGTCCCGTTCGTCGTTACCATGATGAACATCACCACAGCTGGCGGAGATCCCGCGTTTTGGACCGCCGTGGCTGACTTTCATGCGGTACTACCGGCCGTGACTGACGCGCGAGCAGGCGGATATTACTTCATGGTTCCCAATCTGCCGTGGGAGAATAACCAGACCCTCTCGGTATTGAGCTTTTATCTCTTCCATGCCAATACAAGCAACACAGCGGAGGTTGGCCAGATGTACGAACCACTGATGAAGAAACTCAACGCGACCGCGGGCGTGTATACTCAATACATGACCGTCCCCATGCCCAGTTTCCACGAGACAATGACAAAGTTCATGCTTGTCGGCGATTCGGACGCGACAGGATCAGTCGCCTTAATCTTCTCCAGGCTGTTCTCGAAAGACCTCCTCACCTCCAAGGACGGGCCCACCAGACTCGCTTCTACCATGAGTAAATTCCGCTATACGCCTGGAGAAGCCGTTTCCGGTATCGTGGTTGGAGGCGGCGCCGTGGCACAGAACGCAGGCAAAGTCGACAGCGCACTCAACCCAGCTTGGAGAAAGGCGGTTGTGCATATCGTATACACCCGCAGTTGGAGTGCCAATGCCACTCTGGCAGAGCAGCAGGCCGTCATCAAGAATGTGACGGATGTGGAGCTGCCGCTGCTGCAAGGAGTCGAGGGAGCAGACAAGATGGGCGCGTATGTGAACGAGGCCTTTGCCTACGAACCCAATTTCCAAGAGTCCTTCTGGGGCCGGAATTACCGCCGTTTGTACAGAATCAAGCAGAGGTGGGATCCCGCTGGTCTGTTCATCGCGCGCAGGATGGTCAGTAGCGAGGATTGGGACGAGCAGGGGCTCTGTCGGGTTGGGAAGTGAGCTTTCTTTCTGTCTTTAGATCTACCGTATTGCGCTTTTCTGTCGTTCAGTTTGTTTGAGGATCGTGTAAATCTTTTAAGTAGTACATAATAGAGGCTTAACAGCAGGTTTCGTCTTTGGCGTCAGTAGATGTTAAGAAGCTCCTTTCGTTCTCGAGATTGTCACATCTGAATCGGCCAACTTGCGACTTATATGGACCTGTACTGGACATCTTCGTCATCTTCTCATGGTTACGTTGCGTTAGACTATCAACTTCGCTTACATGTTTGCCCAGTTTTAGATGCTTCTGGTGAAATGGTGGAATTCAACATATTCTGTTAGTCGTTCTGGTCATCAGTCACTTACCTCCTGAATGCTGAGAAGCAGTGCTGAGGTGAAGTATGTCTAATACTCCAAATCCACAATGCGCCTGGCATCTACAGCGATTGTCTACCACTTGTCCACAGGGAGATAGTTACTGTGGATGTCGTCTGCCGAGCATTCCAGTAGGATGCAGCAGTGCCACGCTGCCAAGGTCGGCGCATTGTTGATTGGAGTCGACGATTTAAACATTGCGCCACCAACCGGCGATTTGCTGACGGCACAAATGATGGCTTCGATATTTCCCAATGAGGCCAATCGTGATTCAGTGGCGCACGGCCGTGGATAGGCTGCTGTCGAAATGCGGGGTCAATGTCTGTGCTTCGTGAAGAGTTGGATAATGGAGACATGAGCTATTATTTTCAATATATGTCCAGTTAGTCGTGGATAGAGACATTGATTATGAGAAAGGCATAGGCCAATGGTGTGATCCTATTCAGAAATGATATTAGCACTCTGGGAACCGTGAGAGAATCAATCCTGTTTGCAACCAGAACAAGATCGACTGGGCCAGATCATCGCATCAGGCCACGTCAAATGACCGGCAGACCAAGACCACCTCGAGCATTCCACAGCCTCTCCGCGGAGAATATTATTGGTCTTTCTTTCGTATTTGCTTTGATCCTGTTCTCATGATCCTGAAGTGCTGGCATATAAAAGGGATCCAGACTGTCTGACCCTACTGGAGACATTGCATCCATTAATCTACTATACACACTATACTATACCATCATCTGCCGTCCATTATTTACAGACATCCACTCATAATGACTATTCCATATCCCTTACTGGCCCCAGACTGCTATGGGATGACCATCCCCAGACAATCCTGGCAGGACAGGAACCCTCGACACCTGGACCGCGCTCATGTGGAAGCCGTGTTTCGCGAGATGAGGGCGCAAAAGTCCCAGCCAGTCTTGAATCAAAGAAAAGAGCTGCCAAACCGCGCGGGCTGGAGAGAGAAACTCTCACGAAAGTATGTATTCCTCGCCTTGGTCACTGGACCGGACTAATTCATAAGCAAAAGATTCAGCCGCGGATGACCGATCTATATTTGGACCTGAGGATTGATATCGAGCGAGGCGTTGGATAGTTTGATGATACGACATGAATACTCGACTAATTATAATGTATATACTATTTCACTATCGATGGATGTGAATCATTGTTGAATATGCTTTACTAGTATATTCGGATATTCTCTTCCGTCAACCCCAATGTCATGGTAGTTACGACACTCCTAAACCAATTGTTGAAACAAGTCTAAGAAGAGCACTGTAAACTACCTCAATTCTCAGGGCTGATACCCGCTTCCGCAAAAAAGTTGGGATCCTCTGCTTGGATCTCAGCCCCAAAATCCACCTCCCTGATCCGACAATGCAAGTCTCCATCACCAGTCTCAGGCTTATACATCAATGCTAGTCGGCATGACCAACAATTCCTGTGTTGAATATGCGCTGTATACACGCGATGCCGATCTTCAGGAACCCGCTGCTCCAACGGCAGATGAGCCACCTCTGCTTCTTCGATCTGCACAATGATCCGCGCGAGAATCGCATACTGCTGCATACTCCACAGTCCTTCTTTCTGAGGGCAGCGGTACAGCAGGCTGATTGCCTTTCGCCGGAGCACCGGATTGCGCCACTTGCTAGCCACGTAGCTGAGCGAAGAGATGAGTCCCGTCTCCAAGGAAAAGACACTCAGCACAGCGTCTTTGTCCAGTGACGCATTGAGCTTGAGGAGATCCTCGGTGTAAGCAAGGATAGCTCTGAAGTCATCGTCGAGCTGGTCGAATATGAGCTCGTCTCTGGACAGGGCGACCGTGACCCAAATTTGGTTGGTGCGGTGGTGGAGGCGCAGCAGCAAGGGTCCTCGAGGATCGGTCTTCTTCAGCCGTCGGCCACATCGCCTCATCAGACTTTCGAATGCGCTCAGCCATGCAGCAAGACCTTGGAGGAGGGCTTGTTGCTGACGGACTTGCCAGGGCGACCCTCTCGTATTCCGGTCGCCGCCCACGGCCTCCAAGAAGCTCATTGTGCGATTGCTCAGTATAACGAGTGAATCTCTGGCTTCTGAAATTTCCGACCAGCATTCTTGTTTTGCCCCTAATTCTGCTGTATCTAGCTGGCTGAAGTTGAGAGGAATCATCTTCCTACCATGCTTGGAGAGCTGGGTATTCCAGCGGATGAGGATATAAGCCAGTTCTCGGGTAATCCCTTCCGACCGTAGTTTTCCGTCTGTTTGATTCTCCCATCGCTGAAGGATCTTCAGTCCGGCTTCAATATGGTCTAGAGCCTTACTGAGCTGTCCACTGAGAATCTCCAGGGAGACAAATAAACAGCAGCTGATCAGCGTCAGATGCGGTACCTGGTGTGTGGAGGATGATAGTTGTGCCACCAAATGTCGAATCGCCAAGTTGTACTGCTGAATAATAAAATGCTCATTCTGGGGCGCAATCTTCCGCCCGGGATCACATTTGCCTTTGGAGAGAACTATATGTAGATGTTGATGGAGAGCCCCCAGAGCGATAACTGCGTGTCGGATCCCGGCCTCGGAGTGACTCAGTTGTGGCAGTAAGTACTGCCAGAGATCCGAATCAAAAAAGCCAGAGAGTGCGCGCGATGTCCGCGTGCAGAAGAACTCGATATGCTGCCTTTCTTCTCGAGTCCCCGGACGCAAGACTAGGCGCTGGTCGGCGCTGGGTTTAGTCCGGGCCTCAGGGGCAAGGTCGACTACGGCTCTCTGCTGTGCCTGTGGGTTTGTCTGCTGGGGTTCATATCCATCACATTTGCGTCCTGTTTTGACGCACTGTAGACATTCTGGCTGTTGTTCGTCACATTTGACATGCCGGATTCTGGGAGAATTAGTATGGGTCAACGGAGACGTAGTTTGAGTGTTTGACGGACTTGCAGGTGATGCAACCTCTTCGTGATTTGGTGTGCTTGGCTCGAGTATGCTTCATGTTGTTTACTAAATATTCAGCAGCAGGAAGGAGGTGTCAGAGATGTGATTATCAATCACGGAGATTTGAAGCGATCCAGAGTGTCTGACACAGCCACACTTCGTATTTTAGTGCTAACTTCCACCAACTGAATACGATCGCTTGGCCCAATCATTACCTACACAATAACAGACGTTGCAGACACCATTGAAGACACTGTACCGCAATCTCCCAAGAAAGGTACTTTTAGTCAGTGTTCTATCGATTCTCGTCATGCATGCATCAACCTGCTACCAATCCATCCCTCTTGTTCGTCTCCTTGACCCTGTCTTTAGCCGCCGGCTCAGACCAAACCAAAAGATTCCCAAATATGCTGCAAGCCACAATTTCACTACCAGATCTCGTCATCCCTGCTGGAATCGGCAATCGGTCTTCCATACTCTGCCATAGTCGCGAGCATTATCTCAGAGAAATTTGAACTCGTTGTTCAAGCAGCAACTACGCAGTGACCTATCGACCTTGCAACGAGTTGAACAGAACCTGAAACGCTGTAAGGATTAGCTCCCGGCCATCGCTCCAAATGCTTTCATCCTCCATCAACCCCAGATCCTCTCCCCTGGTCGCTTTGCCCATCAACTCCTTCGTGGGAAACGTCAAAGCTACGAGAGGCTCGACAGGCTGCATACGAAGGCCCTGCAAAACCTGATACAGCTGCTCCGCGGCCTTGCCACCGCCGTGTCCGCCGTAGCTGACAATCATCCCGGGCTTTCCCTTCCATTCATTGTAGAGATAGTCGATGGCGTTCTTGATGCTAGCCGGATAACCCCAGTTATACTGTGGTGTGACGAAGATGAATCCCGCGTGCGAGGCGATCTCCTCGGACCATTTCCTGGTTAGCTCGTGCGTATATCCCTCCGGCGAGGAGATGTACGATGGGATGCCTGCTTCATTGTACATGGGGAGATTCCAGGTAGCGAGGTCGATAAGGCGCAGGTTGGCGGTCGGGTATGCTTTCTGGATCGTACTCAGGACGAAATTGGTGATTTGCAGCCCAGCACGGGGGACTCGCTGGCTGCACACGATAACTCCGATGCTCGGAGTCGACATTTATTCGGTTTGTGGTGATCGCGTGCTTGATCTGATTTTGATGCGGACGCGGGACAGGGTATTCGGCTGCCTTTGAGACACCTGAATCCTCACCCATCATCATCTTACTGAGGAACTGCTTATATATACCAGTTTACATCGGATATAAGCAGGAGTCTTCGGAATCGGTGATAACAAGCAAGTCGGAAGATGCGATCCGCTCGGCCCGTTCTTTGTCATCATGCTTGGTCATCCTACTTTGTCTCTCAGACTATTCTCCATTACGACCGGCGCATCGGATGGGTCTTATAGACGAAGCAGATGGTGAATGGCGTCTTGATCTGGGGAAATGGGGAATGATCATGGTTGAAGAGGTGGCGGGATCAAGTATGCATCGGTTATTTGATTCTATATATACTCCCCCACAGCAAACCTATGCAGTGATCTCCGTCGAAGGAATGATAGTAGCAAACGCATCACCGAGTTCACTCAGAACCACCGAGACAAGAGTCTCAGCGTTGGTGCCGGGAATATCTCGGTCACCCACGGCATCACTGGCGATGACCACATCATAACCGCGCTCACTGGCCGCACGAGTCGTGGTCGACACGCAGACATGCGCCATATATCCCACCAGGACAAGCTTCTTTCCCACATCTCCCAGACCCTTCAGGTATTCATCGAGATCGGTCTGTGCAAAGGCACTCGGGAAGTTCTTGGCGATGACCTTCTCGCCGCCGCGCGGGGTCAACTCGTCGAATTCCTTGGCGAGGTCGGTGCCGGGGGTGAAGACGGGGGCGCCTTGGGGTACCTCATGAACAATATGGACAATGTTCTTGCCGTCGCCGCCGGCACGGTACTTCTCTAGGAGGGTTGCGATCGCCTTGCGGGTCAGGGAGACGTTCGCGGTCTTGAGATGGCCGGTGGCGTATTCGTTCTGGGCGTCGATGATGATGAGGGTGGAATCCTTGGTAGAGGCGGTGGAAGGAGGGACGCCGATCATTTGGCGGAAGGACTGTACGGACGACATTTTTCTGACTGTGAATTTGTAGGAGATGTTTGTAGGAGGGGGGATATGTGATGATGGTTGTTTGCAACCTGCGGATTGGAAGAAGAGTGCGGGGAAGAGCTGCGATATTTAAATTATCTACGGAGTCTCCCAATTGTAGAACCCCGCCATACCTCGGGCAGTCGGGGTCCCCTTTCTGACAAATATTTTCGTGGATCATGTTATTGAGCAGGTAATAGCTTAATAATGATAACCATGGCCTCGATTAAGAGCTGCTGTAGCTTCCTCATTGGGATACATTATTCGCCAAGCTTTTCCGACTCCATATCCTCGAGGGTGATTGACAGCGTGGCGACTGGAGACTAGTTCGACTAGCCAATGATCGTGCATTCGTCCGGACTATAGCACTCTGATATCGGCAGGAGAATGAAAGTCACCGGGTACTCGCGTCGCTGATTTCCACATTCGTCTCGATCTGTGTTGGAGTCCAGATTTTCCCATTCGGCACCACGATCCGCTCCTCGCTGGTATTGCTGCCGTACCCTGTCCCAAGCTCTGTCGGCATAACCTCGGCATCCTTGGTCCTCAGTGAGTTCATTGTCACACTGTCTTTGAACCGCGAGAATCCCCAGTGTGTTTGTTTGGATCCTGTCAGTTTGGAGGATGCGTATTTGCGCCCGGAGGAGTACTCGCCGATGAGTCGGGGCAGGAAGCGGGAGGCAATTGCCTTACAGGAGGGGATCGAGGCGGCCAGGATACCCACGTTGGTCTCGATCACGGACCAGTACATGGCGCCGCCGATGGCGTAGGTGAAATCAGCCGATTTTAGCATGGTGGGGATATAGGTGATGCGAATAATCGAAGAGATGCAGGCACTAGGGGGCGTGTCAGAAAAAATGACAGGTGAGATCGAGATACTCACAAAAGTCCCAAGCAGAGGATGAAGCCAAGGGCAAACTTCTGCTTGACCGGCATCTGTAGCTTGAGGAGGACTTTAATAGGGAGCGAGTAGGTGAGCAAATCAGTCAAGATGTTTAAGGCCGCGTTGGAGAGATAGAAGATATTGATCTCAACACACTGGCCCGGCAAGGCCGTGTTCCAGGCTTTCGGGATGGGTTGACACTGAAAGGCTGCAACCATGACGAACACTGCAGCCTGGGTGCCGACGATACCCATCATGATCAAAGACATTCGCGTGAGCGTCTTGTCGCCGATGCGCGTGTAGAACCAGCAGACCGACGTTTTGATGAAGCCCAGACAGGCCAGATAGAACATCGAGCTGAGCCATACGACCTGCCATGGTCAGAGTTGCAATGAGTATTCGTTTTGATGGTGCATACGAAAGAATAGGAGGGCAGGTTGCTCTTATCCACATCGGCAAGATGAGAGCCCAGTCCTTTTCTGACAGCTAGTCAAGATCAGTTGTGGATTCTCATGAACAAAGGATGTCGTACTGACAGACGATAGTTACACCGATAAAAGCCCAAGAGAAAAGCTTGATTTGTCAGTATAGACGCGCAATTGCCTAGTTCCGGTTCCTTACGCATGCACACACGATCAAGTCTCGGAACAGTCAGCCTTCTTTTCGCCAGCATATCACAGGAGACGAACTTACAATCATCCACACCTACATGCCTCAGAACGACGACTCGAGCAAACATTCGCAGACAGATAACCACAAAAGTAACGACTGCAAAGGCAATGGAGATGCCTACCACAACTGGCCCTTGAGAGTCAGATGCCATGATGAATGGTCTGGAATGCAAAGGAGTGACAGGACGACGGACGGATTAGGCTGAGAGGGATGGCTTGTTCTCATTTATTCCTCGCCCTCTTTGATCATCGTCTTATAATCTCGAAGACCTGATCATAGCGCTGACTACTGAATAAGAGCAGTGGAGACTAGAGATCAAGTTGATATGTCAATTGGCGAGCAGGGATTCTGCGTTTGTCGTTACATCCTGTCGAAGCTCCAGAGGCGTCAATTTAAGTTCTTACCGGCTAATAACGCGCAGACTACAAAGATCTAAGGTTGCTTGAATGCCTGAAACTGATTTACCAAGCTTCTCCCCAAAGTAGCAAGACGGGACACCTGAGACAGAGGGGAATCCTCCATGTCTCAGTTGGTCCCTCTATGCTGGATTGACTGATTGTTGAGACGCCGGTTAGTGGCACTGGGTGTAGTTCTATTGCGCAACATCGACAAAGGTTACTTGATATTGAATGCTTCCCTGTTTCGTAGTTAAGACGGAGACGTCCGACGCGAAGGTGGGACTGTGCAGTAGTTTATTAAACTTGGTATTGTTAACCACTGAAATATGGTAGATAGTGGATTAGCGGACGAACAGAGATTGGAATCGGTTCTTTTGCCATTGCCCTAAGGAGACGGTTTGAGTCGACTGTCCCACACGACTGCGTCGAGCTGCAAACTGGTGATCGTTATCATCTTCAGAGCTCCGGATAACATGGAGGGTACAGTCAACAGTTCATATGATAGATGACCATGTAGGGGATACGGACCGGGAGAAAAAGTACGAAGATAATCCAGGAGATCGGCAACTGTGGCGTAGAGAGAGAACGGATGTAGGAAACAGGAGCGCTGAAACACAAGTCAACTCTTTGGTAGATGTATCATAGGAGTGTCTACTTCGCTTCTTCTGGAGAATAGCTCCACTTCGTCCCCTGGAGCCGACCATTATTGTGAACGTATATAGATCGGTGTTCGCCACCAACCTTTTTCCTTTCGGATGCTCTCCGCTGTTCTGTGCATGTTCCAGGAATTATAATAGAGGTCATTATGCTTTGCGATTGCGGTTGATCGTCATCAATTTTTCTTCGTCGTTGATTCTGGATGGTAGTCGGAAATAGTTTCCACTGCAACCCAACATGGACGTGTCGACACTACCATTGACCCTCCAGGCATGAACAATACCATAGTAGGTATCTACAGGAGAGAAAACGACATCTCTGTTCATCTCGTCGATGATCAGGACAAAAGTCCATTCTTACGAGTCAGGCCTTGCCGACTGCTCGTCACTCTGCCTCGCTTCATACGCGGAAATGCAAAGAGACAAGAAGCTCCACATCCACCGTTGGGCATGAGATCGGCACTGGACATCAACGTATCATGCTACACAATAACCCGCTCAATACTGGGAGAGGGGCCGAAATTGGCTATCTCTAACGGTTGTCTCGCTCACCTCCCCCCATCAAGTTTAGACTGGGAATGTCATGGCGGAACTTGCCATTCGCTTGTCTCAGTTCTCGACCATCAACAACTGGGTCTGCAGATTCAGTGACTACAGTTGCAAGTCGAGAATGTCGATTCCTACTTTATACGACAACGGCTCGGTCTGGTTAAACACACAAAGGTCCATCGAAGAGCAAGGATGTGATTGACAGCTCCAATGGCCGTCAGCTTCATCCGCCTTCGTACATTAGTTGATGTACTATTGTCACACTGCGGCCAAGATCAACCCTGGTTCTCCACCTCTTACTCGCTTCGTGAATAATCCAGCCTGCTGTCAGCTGCAACCGAGACTCAAGCAGTCGAGCTAAGCGCCTGGATTGGGGAATCCACATGGCCTTGCCGCGGTCGCAATCGGGGCAGACTGGCCTAGAGGTAAACCTGGCCTCAAAATCGATGGCAAGGCCTTGGTTTCTGTGTCCTGCGAGCGCAGTCTTCTCTTGTCTTAATCGGATCCCACTCATCGAGTCACCATTATGGGTCTTGGGGAAGAGATACTCGTCAGAATCACCTTGACTAACGTCGTTCTGGGTCTTGTGGCGTATGTTTTGCTCAAATTCGCGTACCAGATTGTCTATTATCACTTTTTCCACCCCCTGTCTGTCTTCCCAGGGCCCTTCTGGGGAGGAGTGACCAGACTTTGGATCGCATGGCACAATCTTCGCGAGACTGAATTGCCAACCGTGTATGCCTTGACAAATAAATATGGTATGATACACCATCGTATCACAATGTTCTCAGCAGCAGATGCTAATTGAACACTGAGTAGGCCCCGTTGTGCGAATAACTCCCACGCTCCTGCTTGTTAGCGACCCGACCAAGCTGCCGGACATCTACCATCGGAATGCAGACAAGACAGGACACTACATCACCGGAAGTTTTGGCGAGACTGAATCGCTGTTCAACATGCGATCGCATAAGACGCACGCAGCGTTTCGAAAGTATCTGGCGGGACCTGTAGGTTGATTGCAATGCGACCGTCGGCAACGAGAACCACGGCGTTGACACTCTGCAGTACAGCTTTACCAACGTGAAGAGGATGGAGCCCTTGATTGATATTCGTATTCAACACTGGATCGACAAGCTCAATGAGAAATTCGCTCAGACTGGAGAGATTTTTGATTTCTCATGGTGGGCCGTGTAAGCATCATCGGTCGCACTCCCGAGAGCGCCGCCTGAGACTAACTGTGATGACATGTTGCAGCTACATGGCGTACGACATAATCAGCGAGATCGGTTTCGGTGCCCCCTTTGGCTTCGTCGAGCAGGGCCAGGACGTAGGAGGGCTCATTCAGGGATTCCACGACGGTCTGCGGGCATTCGGTTTCCTTGCTCGTCTGCACCCCTTCACCAGCTGGATGAAGACCACCTTCATGAAGAAGTACCTTGTTGCCACATCCCAGGATGATACGGGGATTGGCGTCCTGATGCGCTTCCGTGATCGCCTGATCGACCAACGGCTCCGCGAGCTCGAAGAGAAGAAAGATATCGGTCGCATCGACCTCCTGCAGACCTTCATCGAAGCGCGCACCGAGGATGGGTCACCCCTGGACATTGAGTATCTCAAGGCCGAGGTACTGTTGGTGCTGCTTGCGGGGGCCGATACGACCGGCACCGTCTTCCAGGCCCTGGTGCACTTTCTTCTTACCAATCCCAGCGGCTACCGTCATATGATGGACGAGATTGACGCGGCAACGGCCAAGGGATTGATCTCCGATCCAGTCCCTCAGTATGACGAAATCGTCGAGCACCTTCCATACTATGTGGCATGTGTTCGCGAGACGCTGCGGCTCAATCCCCCTGCTCCAAACATCTTTCCCCGGTATGTCTCAGAACCTGGTATGGATCTGTATGGCAAGTTTGCGCCAGCGGGGACGGAGATCTCAGGCAATCCGTGGATCATGCAGCGAGACAAGAAGTTGTACGGAGAGGATGCGGAGGAGTTCAGGCCAGAGCGTTGGCTTAATGCTGAAAAGGCCAAGCTGTACAACAAGTATAGCTTCACATTTGGCTATGGGGCCCGAGTGTGTCTGGGGAGGGATATTGCCATGATGGAGCTGTACAAAGGGCCATTGCAGGTGAGTAGTTGTATCCCTGTTACACTGTTTAACAACAATGCTGAGGCTACCAGTTCCTCCGCCGATACAATGTCCAGACAGTGGACGACAAACCAAAGGCTCGATTCGAGATCAAAGGAGGAGTTGGTTTCTACCGCAATGTATGGCTGACAATCCATCGTCGCCTGCCAGAAAAGGCGTGAGATGATACTACTACTGATCAGCAAGATTCGGTTGATCTTCATTCAAAAGAGTACCTGCGCTTACTTTGTATCTCATTACTTAAACACTTCAGAATGAACTCGCGACTCTACGATTTGTTTGCGTGGATACTCCGTACGTATTGAATCTTTCTTCCAATTTGGCACTACTGGGGAGGCAATGCACGCTTTTCGGCATTTTCCCTGTCTCTAGACTTGGTATCCCTTACTCTTTCATGGACTGGATGTTCCTGCGGATAGTCTGCTTGATGTGTTTGTTTGCGCCTTGAGAATTCCCCTGGCTGATCGACATCCCATGAGCCGTTGCTCAATCCTGCACAAATGCACGTATGACCTGTCAGAACTCAAATTACGAAGTGAAGCAGGGACCAATCTTGGTTGCTTTCGCTCCACTCCATTCCCAGCTAACAAAATCGCTTCTTGACTGACTTCTTCCCAACTTCAGCCAGCGATCATCGAACATCAGGGCACGAACATTGAATAGTCAGCCTACACCGCCAGTGACATGGACATCTCTGAGGCACGTTGAGTCCTGAGTGTGACAAATACTTGTCTTCTCTGTCGCAGTGGGCCTTTGAGTTTACGCGGATAGGACCGGCGTGTCAGAAGCGGCCCGAAAGCGTCCCATTCGTCCATTCGCACGGTCAAGGCCCAGAATGATCAAACTAACAGGATACTTAGCGTTGGTTGTCGTCTCCCAGCGCGTCATTGGCGTTCTTCTGCTCATCCCCACTTGACCGGGATTTGGTCCAGAAAGGGAAGTAGTTCCCTCTGTGTGTGCCATCTGGTCTGGAACGGGGTGATCTGGAGGGGTGCAGAACCTCGGTCGTGTCCATGGAGGGGCGACTAGGTGACAGGTCCCTTATCTATATGACGAGTTACATTTCGATGCTCCTCGTCCATCCGTTGTTGTATTGAAACCACATATCCAAAAAACATGGCAGCAACAAAGACTATCCAGGTGCCCCATCTCGGCGGCATTACCGCCGGTTATGCTCTGTCCAACGACCGTTACGACCCCGCCAAGCCGACATGCGTCCTGATCAACTCGATGTGCACGACTGTTTCCCTCTACCGTGATCAGTTTAGCGATGTCGCCCTCACAAGCGCCATGAACCTGCTGGCCATCGAGCCCCTGGGCCACGGCTCGACCAGCTGCCCGTCGGAACACTTCACATACTGGGATTCGGCATTGATGGCGCTGCAGGTGATGGATAAGCTCGGCATTGAGAAGGCTTTTGCTCTGGGAACGAGCCAGGGAGGATGGATCGTGACGCGCATGGCTCTGTTGGCTCCCGATCGGGTGGGAGCCCCTGCATACTTGAATTGTCTACCAGTGCGAGGTGGCTTGTTGAACTGATGTCTGTGTGCTGTCATCTAGATCCTCGGTCTGATGCCCTTGGGAACCTCGATGGATTACGAATCGGCGGACTCCCGATCGAAAGGGTGCTGGGATCCCGCCCCGGCCCTCCAGCCCTTCTACGAGAAGTGGACCAGCGCTGTTGCGACGCCTGATTTCCTGGTCGACGATGTCTGGTGTGGCATGGTCGGTGGCATTGGGTTTGGCGCCAGTGCTTCAGAGGAGCTGAGTACGTTCTGGACAAAGACCTTAAAGGAAGTCTACAAAGGAGACGAAGGCCGAAAGAAGGTCCGCATGGCGGTGGCTTGTCTGCTATCGCGCGATGGACTGTTGCTGAGACTGAGGGATGTCAAGTGTCCCGTGTACTGGTTACAGGTGAGTCCACCCCTACGTCAGGGACTGATATCGTAGGATGCTGCTAAGGTTGATGCGACAGGGCACCGAGGACACTCCATTCGGCAAAATAGTACCAGCAGAGCAGATCAAACTCTTCACCTCGTCCTCAGAGGCCAAACTGGTCATGATCGAGGGAGGAGCTCATTACCTGAACGCCACCAACCCCAAGGAGGTGAATGCTGCGCTATTGGAGATGGTGAACAAGTATAAGTGATAGCGTAAATAGCATTTTTGATAGATGATCACCATGCATTTCTAATCTTCCACTTGACGGATGTCCGGCACAAGATTTGGATTTCAAGTTCTCAAATGCCGAATAATAGTCCCCACAGCCACAGCACAACAGAGTTTGCAAACACGGCGAGTGGAGTCACTATTAGACTTGACTTCGTAAAAGACCATTGTCACGACAGCGCGGAGATAACCATTGTGAAGACTCACAAGTCCGCGCTCTCCACTTTGCCACGCTTTTGGCCCACTTCCAACGCAAGGATCGACTATTCTGCAGCTAGAACGGGCTAGGGTCACCCAACGGCCAATTGAACTTCTTTGGTCTGTCGAATGAGCGTCCTAAAAAAGAATGGTAGCTTCCCGCCAGTAAGGGGCCGCTCGTTAGTCTGGCCCTGGGATTCGTCGACACCCTGATGGCTGCAAGCCCAAAACTGTCCAAATCTTGCGGAATACGGAATCAAAGTATCATCCCATCATGCTGAAAATTTCCTAGGCAGCGCATTTTACAAAAGGAGTATGGGCTAGAATCCTCCCGGTTGGGGCCAGAACGAATGCAGGTACTAAGAAGAGAGATCATTCGAGGGATTTGGTTATAATGTCCTCGTTCTTCCTACGGCAGTCGATCACCCACTGCTGCAGTCTCTCATGTCGTAATCACTTAGAATGGCAGACCAGGAAGACTCGCTGCAACCATGGGTGACTGCCACCACCGCTTCGGTGACGGTGCTCGCCTTCGTCATGGTTTGTCTGCGGCTTCTGGCCCGATGGGAGAGGAAGCAAAAGCTGTGGTGGGATGACTGGATGATTGTGTTCTCCATGGTAGGTTCACAATCCTCTAAGAGGTATCGCAGCTAACATCTGTAGGGCTGGAACCTGGTCGTCGTCGGCTTCATCTTCGCCATGGTCAAAGAAGGCATGGGTCTGCATGCCGGCACCGCCGTCCCCATCTCCAACCAGGTCATGATCGCCAAGTTCCTCGTCGTGGCCGAGATTCTCTATGTGTTCAATCTGGTCTGGACCAAACTCGGCATTCTGCTGATGTACTACCGTATCTTTCATTTCCCCTACTTCAAGCGCTGGGCGTACATCATCGGCACCTTTGTCGTTCTTTGGGTCATCTGCATCACCTTCCTTTTTGTTTTCATCTGTGTTCCGGTTCAGAAGTTGTGGTATCCCGATCTCCCCGGACGGTGTATCAACCAAGTCGGAACCTGGATCGCTAATGCGGTATCAACCATCGTGACCGATCTGGCGATTCTCGTTCTGCCAATGCCGCAAGTCTGGAAACTGCAGCTGCGTCTCTCTGAGAAAATCGCCTTGACAGTTGCATTTAGTCTCGGATTCTTGTACGTGCTCCATCACAGTGACCCTGGTCAAGCTCTGACCAATTACAGTGTCGTCTTTGCCTCGGCCTACCGGTTCAGCGTCCTCTTCTCGTACACCTCCGCCGACTCATCCTACACCCTCGCTCCAACCGTCGGCTGGACCGCCATCGAAATGTCCGCCGGCATTGTCTCCGCCTGTCTCCCCACCCTCCGACCCGCCTTACAGGCCATCGTCCGGATCATCGGCATCCAAGGCGCCTTGCCCGCCCTACTGCGCAGCCGGACAGCCCCCATGTCCAAGACGGGCCAGTCGAACCCCAGTCAGAACCAGCTGACAAAAGGGCACACAGGCAGCGGTGTCGGTCACTCAGCGCATAGCCGGCGTCATTCCTTCTATTATCTCCCGGATGAGGCGGATTCGAACGGCGAACAGCCCATGACGCCGGAGCAATTGGATGCGGCTCTCCGGCCGGAGTATGATCACGGACATATGGTGACCAATGTACTAGGCTCGAAGGGGAGGAACGTCGATAGCGCGAGTGATGAGATTCCTTTGCATGGCATCCGCGTACAAAAGGATTTTACGCAAGTCAAGGAGCGGTCAGCATAGACATCATCATTGTTTCCTACAGCAGATAGATCAACTCTTATGGTAGCGAGCATCAATAGATATATTCCGTCCTTGACAAATGTGGTTGTTTCAAATCCTATGCCGTGAAATCATATCTCTATTCCTGAGTCATACAATGCAGATCCAATCTATGTCTGTGAGCCATCCACTAGCACCGCTGTCCTGAATGTGTTCCTCCTCTATTTGTCCTGATCATACAACCCATGCTTGATATCATGGCAGGTGAATTTGGTCCATTCCAGGCGCCGGTACTTGGATTCCTCAGGTGTCAGCCTTGACGCGGATATTGAATGACATGGGCAGCTGAATGATAGCTGAAGATTGGATTAATCTATGGGAGAGATCTCCAGAAGTGATTTTATATGAACTAGAGTTAGGCATCAAAAGTCAGTGATGGGTTAGAGAGGTGAGGAAAGATACAACGTCTGATGGTGATGCGACTGTCTACATATATATAAGGCTCCACAACACCAGAGACACTATGGGCATTCCACTCCAGGTTCAATGCTATTTTAAATAACCCATTAACCAATCCTTTATCGCATTCGAATGTATATTAATGGGCAAAACAACATGAGCACATGTCATATAAATCTCCCTCAGCTCCCCGGCAGCTGCGAGAGTAACGCGGATAGGATAATCTGCCAATGAGGACCAACAGCGGATGCCCAATAATCTCCTGGCGCCTGACGACCATCGCGGGCTTATAAATGTTGAGCTTGTGTCAGCCGTCGGATTACACCTTACCGTCATTTCAAAAAGACCACCAGTAGAAAGCAGCTTAAGAGCCTGGATTGTTCGAGCCCCTCATTTTAAACACCCATCACACCCCTGCCGCCTCTCCTCAGCCGCACTTCACTCTGACCATACATTTTTCCTTTAAAGGCCCTTTCGGCCCCCGTCAGCATGGAGCGCGTTCTTCATGGTTTACACAGTGCGGCTGTCCAGTCGCTGATTTCAACATTAGTGTTGTGTAGATGACAGAACTGCAGACCCAACGGTGATGATAGTGCTCACCCTTACAACAGACTTGCTAGATAACTACATATGCCAACTCCAGGAAAATGACCGTTCAAAACAATCAAATCCCCGCCATCTACGCGCGGGCGATCGAAAAGTACAAGGAAATTACTAAAGAGGATCTCGATGTCGCCTTCCTCTGCAAGCTCCAGAGCGTTGACGATCTGGCCAAAGAGATCGATGAGCGTAACAAATCCTTCAGCGAGTACCGCCACAAACGCGGCGCCATCTTTGATGCCATGCAGGCGGCACTCATTCCAGTCCAGCTGTTCGGCGATATAGCGGCCGGAGGCGCGTCGATGGTCTTTCCTCCCAGCAGTCTTGTTTTTGGCGCAGTGACCTACCTCGTGACGGCTGCCAAAGGCGTGTCGAGCTCGTATGACGCGATTGAGGATCTGATGGGAACATTAAAGGTGGGCGCGGTCTTCCTCCATTCGTCTTATTTTTTTTTGCTCCTCCCTGAACCCCATTTAATGTGTGCAGGATTTCACTATCCGATTAAAAGCCTACGGCCAGGAGCAAATTTCCGAAGATCTCAGCGACAAGCTGAGCGATATCCTCACCACATTGGTGGAAATTTTTGCCCTTTCGACCAAGGCCATCAAGCAAGGTAGACTGCTCAAGTTCACTCGCAACATCCTCCTGGGCACCGACGACGCCATCAAAGAGGCAGTGGGTAAACTGGATAAGTTGACCAAAGTGGAAGCGAGCCTCGTCGGTGCTGAAACCCTGGTTGAGGCCAAACGGACAGGGCGCGTGGTGGATACAGTCCAAACCACTGTCACGTCGACGAATGTCACAGTGCAGGAGACGGGAAAGGCCGTCAATCAGATGACCGTGCAGGTCACCGAGGTACATGAGATGCTGGGTAACCTATTGATCACGGCGAATGGCAAGGATGAAAATCATGGCGACTCGGCAAAGTCACAGCGCGACCTTGTGAGGAAGATTTTGCAACCATCCGCGACAGACTCGGCACAGGATTGGTACGACAGGATCAGTAAGACCCGCGTTCCTGGAACAGGAGATTGGATTAGGAACGAAGACGTGTTCCAAAGCTGGTTGGTTCGAGATCTCCCGGTCATGTTCATCTCGGGTAATCCTGGAGCTGGCAAATCCTATCTTTCATCAAGCATTATCGCCTTCCTTAAAGACCAATACCCGCAAGGGGTACAACATCCCTCCCATGTCTCCATAGCGTACTTCTTCTTCAAGGATGACAACCCCACCACGAGGACCTTCCACCAGGCCCTGCGGGATCTCGCCTATCAAATCAGCAGTAATGATCCGGCATATGAGAAGTACCTTGCAGCCCTTGGAGATTATGGGAGCGCCAGCACTCTGGAAAGTGCGTGGCGGACCCTATTTGTCGACTACTTCCTGAAGAAAGAATCAATCACGAGTAGTGTCTATGTCCTCTTCGATGCGGTCGATGAGGCCTTTGAGGAGGAAAGACTTGCCTTCTTGCAGCTTGCCAAGGATATTCTGGACTCCCCGAATCGTGGCCGTTTGCAGTTGGCCATGGTTGGACGGCCGCATATCAGCGACCAGCTGGCTGAAGCGCTCGAAACCAACGTCCCGACAATCTATGTGACAACACTGAAAAATTCCGCTGATATCGACCGGTACATCAGAACCAGCATTCAGAAATCAGTGATTCTGCGACGCGTCTCACCAGCTCTACGAAAGGAGATTACCGAAAAACTGTCTGCAGGTGCTGAGGGCATGTTTCTGTGGGTGAACCTGATGCTGCAGGAGCTAGTCAAGAAACGCAACGAGTCCAGTATCCGTAAAAGCCTCGAGCAGGCGCCCAAGGGGCTGAAGGAGATGCTGCGCCATGTGCTACTGAGCTTCTCCGCCAGTCTGAACGACGAAGAGTTGGAATTTCTCAACGAGCTCCTGCTGTGGGTCACCTGCGCCGTTCGTCCTCTGAGCCTTGGCGAGGTGGAGGCAATCCTCGAGTTGAAGTCAGCCGAGGGAGATGGGATGATTTACCTCGAAGGTGCCCTTCGCAAACAATTCGCTGCTTTCTTCAACCTCGACCGTGAGGACGGTCTGACCACAACGGAGCTCCAGACCATGGCAGACAGGACATATGAGTCAGACGATGAGGATACTACTAAACCAGATAGCGATGATCAGGACGCTTTTGAAGATGTTGACAACATTATAGACTTTGATTCGAACAAGAAGTCGACCACCGTCACCTTCAGCCACGCATCCCTGGGCGATTTCTTCCGTGACCCAAACGAAGGCAAGGTCTCTGCCGCGCAGGACAAACTGCCAGTCGGAGTTGTTTATAAAGATGCCAAAGTTCATGTCCTCAAGATGTGCCTCAAGATCCTCATTGATACCGAGTTTTCCGAGAGGGCTACGGACTCCGGCGTCATGGAGACCTACGCCAAAGAACATTGGGTGCAACACCTTCATTCAGTGCAGCCCTCAGAGACCTCGCTCGAGGACAAAAAGACAATCGCCAGCATGCTCGCCAGGATGTTCGGTACAGAAGAGTACATGGCCAGATGGGTGGCAATGAGAAGTTGGGTCTCGACAAGCGAAAACCTGAAGGCCATTCAGCGCTGGTGGGATGATCCCGAGATTGTCGAGTCGCTTGCAGTCAAAGAGGCCGAGTTTGTTCTTTCCGTCAAGGAGACGCCTGTAGAGACATTCCGACCCATCGCCGAGCTTTGCACCAAGAAATGGTTGGCTGAAGACGACTGGGTACCCGCGGCCGCGGCGGCTATGATTATCAGCTATCTCAAATGCCAAAGAGGGATCGATGAGGATTTTCTTTACCGTTTTGCACCGACTGCCGCCGAGGTCGTCGAGGCTGCCGAATGGGCGCAGACCGAGAAGACGTCCCGCTGGTACCAAAGGGTCGGCGTCGTGCTGCGCAACACTGGCCACATAGACGAAGCTCTGGACTATTTTAGGCAGGCAATCGCCATAGATCCAAACAACTGGATTGCCAAAACAGGTATGGCTATAGCACACTTGAGCAGGAAAGAATGGGCAACGACCCTTGCGCTCGATGAGGAAGTAGAAGCAGTTCTGGAACGGCAGCTCACTGATCAGCCCGATCAGAAGAAAAGGCTGACTGCACATTTGCACGTAATACTGGACCGCATCGCAACCTGCTATAAGGAGCTCGGGCAGGCAGAGAAGCACTATCTTAAGATCAAGAAAGCTCTTGCGGTGAATCCCTACTGCAGCACGTGCACATATACGATTCTGCGTTTCCAGAACGAAACGGACCGGTTCGATGAGACCATCTCTCTTGTGAAAGAATATGCCGATGCACAAGTTCCCGACAAAGAGTACAATCGACTGACCGAGTTTCTATGGCAGATGCCAAGCGTGAATGAAGAGGTTCTTGAGTATTTCGCCGTCGCTGGCCAGGCTACGGGGAATCTCGACCTCATCGTCCGTTCCTACCGCGATGCGGCCCGAGCGGCCCGAAAGTCGTCCATGACCGTTGTCGCGGCTGATTTGGACCTTTCGCTTGCGCGTATCTACTCAGAATACACTCGAGAGGAAGACAAGGCGACGAAACGGTGGGAGAGGATCCTTAACACGTATGGATCAGCCAAGGAAGAAGGCCAGATTGGGTCGGCCAAGGTCATCGCCTCCTCCAAGTTGGCCCAACTTTGGCTGTGCCATGCCGTCGATGCCGGCGTAGGTTCCCCCGAGGCGGAGGAGTATGTCAGACGATTGGAGCAGTTGGTAGCACGGTACAAGACCGAGGACACGTCCGCTTTCTGGATCGCCGCGCGGGCTCGGGCCATTTCTCTTGGACTATGGTACCGCCTGACAGGCCGACACGATGAGGCGCGAGCTCTACTCGCTCCCTCCGTTAAACGGGCTATACAGATTTTATCCGACGATGACCCAGAGAACGACGGCGCAGGCTTGGCTGATTTGCAAAATGCTCTACTCGCTGCGGGTGACGTCAAGAATGTGGTTGCGATTGCCTATGCTCTCGGACGATATGCGGATAAAGACGAGGCGGAGAATGAGGAAGGCGGCTATAGTGACTATGGGTACACTTGCGATGGTCCGTGTCGAAGGGCGTTTAAGTCGAGGGAAGGCATTTCGCTGTGCTCGATCTGCTTCGATACGGGCTTTTGCGATGATTGCTCGGAGCTGCTGCGGACTGGGGCCATGCCATTCCAAGTATGTAGGGCAACGCATGCAAAGGACTTCGTATATATTCCACCGCGACCACAGAAGGTGGAGGCCAACCGAGTTCTGGTGGAGGGACAGGTTCTGACCTATGAGGAATGGCTCGCCCAGTTGAAGAAGGAATGGAAGGTGTAAGGCGTCAGTAGCGGGGATTGATGGAAGTGGCCAGCTTTGTCATGTTGCAATAGCACGCAATGCATTAACGTATCACCCCAAGTTGATTGATGTAGCAGGAGGGAGGAGATGATGAGGATGATGAACTACCCTGAGGATGAAAGGTGCGAGGAGAGATAGAGAGGAAAGAGATGCTTTCGGGGATTATCAGGCACCAACTGCCAGTAGTAATGTGGTCGAAATGTCTATCGATGTTGCATGGCAAGACTGTGGCGACATCGTCATAGGATAAATTATTATCAAATACAAAATATCAATATCCTAGAGGGTGGTTAGAATACTAGACAATAGGTGGTAACAAGAATACTATTTTTGTCAAATAGATATACCTTAGATTCCGGTGGTGGTTCAACCCCACGCCCAGTAATAGCCTCGGCACACACATATGTCTAAGTTTCCCCAAACAGGTTAATCCTGTGTCCTCATCCATCACTTCCACCGGTCGCATTTGATCTAGATCATCCTTTTGTGCTAGATTCAATTCTCAAATCGAATTTTGGTATTCATCTCATTTGGAAATATCCCAATCGACCATGTCTTCGCCAAGCAAAGGAGAAAACAGCATTCCCATCCTCCTGGCTTCGATGCGACCTACAGTACACCTGGAGACGTTTGTCTTTCTCACCACGACACAGCCGATCGAAGATCTTCCCCTTCAATCTCTGAAACCGGAGATGCTATTTCAAGAAGACGAGGGATTGAGCATCATCACCACTAAAGATCTGGCCGAGTCAAATGGGTTCCTTGACTATACATTTCCATGCAAGAAGATCTCGCTGGCGGTGCATTCCAGCCTAGAGGCCGTGGGACTAATTGCTGCGATCTCGTCGAACCTCGCTAGTCATGGAATCAGTACCAATGTGGTCAGTGGGTATTTCCACGATCACATCTTTGTGCCTCTAGGAAAGGAGGATGCTGCTTTGCAGGTGCTGCAGGACATGATGAAGGCAGCAGAGTCAACAATACAGAAATAACCATCTCTACTACATGAGTTGTCAATTTGATTTAATGAGCCGAAATCATAACCTTCATCATGAGGCTCAATTGGGTCTCCGTACATTGAATGATTGGTGATGGGGTCAAGGCTGAAAAGATGTCGATCTAGAACCATTGCTGGGATCAGGCAGAAGAGAGGGGTTGACTCACAAGGCTGTCGAGCGAACACGTCAACCAGGGAACGACAGGGATACACCAGACCGAGTCATGCTGTGAGCGACAAGGCTGATTTCTAACCAGGCACATTCACTGGTGCACGACTAGACTAGGGGACTGCTGCCTGGTAGCCGCCACTTAAGCATAAGAGTGGCCATTTTCCTTCTCCAGGATCAACGGACTTGCAGAAGCATCTATCTCTACCTTAGACTTCCACTATGCGTTACGGACGTCGTTCTCGGCACATTCCTTCCGACGACAGTGAGTCGGAGATAATGGAGGTCATCAACGACAACACCATCGCCGCCAGCAAGAAAGATACGGAAGACAATGCAGATGATACGGTCGAGTCTGTCAAGTATGCTCCCCCGGGGACGATCTGCGAGGTTCACAACCTCTACCAGTCCAAACGCGATGACAATGGCCGCACTTCGTGGACCAAGAAGAAGCCCGATGATCTTCCCAGCACAGGCGAGAACTCTGAGTCGGCTCAGTATGCTCTCATTGTCCGCCACGTCAAGTGCTACGATGGTCGCAAACCACTTCAAATTCACTCCATTGTCGTGCAGAGCGAGCGGCTGAAAAAGGTCCTTGGAGAAGTACTCGACACTTATCCAGGCGTGACCATGACCTTGGAGCGAGTGGAATTCCGCAGTCCTTTCAAGCCCTTCGTTCATCGATGGGAGCGATTCGCCAGTGCGCGTGACCAGGAGCTAGACTCGGTGACCAAATCGCACGTGGAACTTCTCTACAATATCCTTGAAGAGGAGCTACGGGATACGATTGCCCGTAAAAATGACCTTGTGCTCAACGGCGTCGTCACCCATGATCTTCTTTGGACCATCTTTGAGCCGGAGGATGAGATTTTTAGTATGGTTGGCGGTCGCCCCCGCGCCTTTCGATTCAAGTCAGGGGAGACAAATTGTCGGACGGGCGCATTTGATCTTGAAGCCCAATACATCGATTTCGACGGTGATGATTTTGGATTCCGTGACAAGGGCTTTGAAGTGGCACCGTTTGCTGGCACCATGTCCATCACGGCTCTTCCGGTGTTTCCCCTAAAACATCACAGTGACCAGAGTTCCGTTCGTGACGCCTTGGTCGCTCGTGGAGTGGTCTGGGAGACTTACAAAGGGTATCATTTCAAGTATTATGAAGGCCTGGCTGTGGGTCGGTACATGAGAAGGGAATTCAAGTTCAACATCAAAAGCCGCATCATCATCGACGCGGAGGCGTTCAACACCTTCAACCCAGACGAGTCCGTCTCAGTGTATCCTACTTGTGGAAAGGAACTCACAGATGACGAGCGACTGCTGGCCGCTCCCACTTTGCGTGGATATTCGCTCAAAGAGAAACGGTGGCTGGAGTTCAATCTCGACAGTGTCAAGGAGATCGTGTGGGATTCACAGGCCTTTGATTCCCTGGTACTGCCGCAGGATCAACAGGATCTCAAGACACTGATTCTGGCCTTTGCCAATGCGCAGTCAAAACAAGCGGATTCGTTTGACGACGTGGTCCAGGGCAAAGGACGAGGAATCATCATGCAACTGAGCGGGCCCCCGGGGGTGGGTAAGACACTCACTGCGGAGAGCGTTGCCGAAGTGATGAAGGTGCCGCTGTATGTGATGAGCGCGGGAGATCTGGGGACGTCGGCCTCGACGGTAGAGGAGGCGTTGAAAGATATCCTGCGCATGGTTCCCAAGTGGGGAGCGGTGCTTCTGCTCGACGAAGCGGACGTGTTCATGGAAGCCCGCAACTCAACGGACTTGTGGAGGAATGAGTTGGTGTCGATCTTTCTACGCATGCTGGAGTATTACGAGGTGAGTTTCTAGTCCGTTGTCAATACCATCAAGCTGACATGTATCATCCAGGGCATTCTCTTCCTCACTACCAACCGCGCTGGGAACATTGATCCAGCTTTTGAATCTCGAATTCACGTCTCCATCGTCTACCCAGATTTGGACATGATTTCCCGTCGCCATATCTGGCAGCAGTTCCTGACTCGCACCGCCGGGACTGAACAATTCTCCGATGAACAGCTGGAGACCTTGGCCGGCGTATCGCTGAATGGCAGGCAGATCAAGAACGTGCTCAAGACAGCTCATTTGCTGGCATGGTCACAGGAGAAGCCGCTTGCTTACGAGCATTTGCAAACAGTACTCAAGCTCAGGGATGCAACGTCGCCCACTGTCAATGGGGTTTGAGAGGGAATCATCCAAAGGCAGACATAGCATATTTGAATAACCATTTGGACACTCCGAAGACAGTAGATTGACTCCTCCGTAGGCTGCTGTATGTGCAAGGCTGCCTAAGGCAGGGCGGAATACCCCACCTTCGTGTTACATAGACATTTTGTAGGCTGCATCGGCCAAAATATGATCTTTCTTGTCACAATTTATCGAACGCATTCCTGTGACATCAAACCATGAAGCAAAAGAGAAGCAAAGACATTCTTCCTAGCTTACTTGACGCACTTCCGTCTGCAATAATCCCTGACGATGTCGACCTTGCATCCATTGCCAGTTCCTTTGCCAACAGCCTCGCCCGCTTGTCAGCACCCGATTTCGCCGAGGTCGCTATCTGGAGAGATTGCTTCGCACTGACTGGGACTTTGAGAACGTTCTATTCTCCTTGGACAGTTTCTGAGGTCTATCGCAACCGGTGTTTGGCACGACAAGCCCAATCATTCTGCGTACAAGCTGACGAAGCACATGTTGTGCGTATTAGCCCATCGTGTAGCTGGATCAACGTTCCTTTCCGCTTCGAAACCAATGCTAGCCCTGCTGCCTGTTGTTCTGGTGTGCTCTCCTTGATCCCATCGGGCGAAAATGGCGAGTACACCATCTGGATGCTGCAGACTTTGCTGGATCGATTTAGGGAGTATCCTAGTGTCGACACGCTTGATCCGACGGCTCAAATCCCCTCTGTGGGTGATTCCACGACTGACTTTGACTGTCTAATCGTAGGGGCTGGTCATTCCGGCCTCAATGTGGCCGGCCGACTGAAAGCACTAGGGGTGTCTTATCTCGTAATAGACAAGAACTCACGTGTGGGCGACAACTGGCGTCTTCGATACGACTCGGCAAAATGTGTGTTCTTCATGTTCTTGTTCGGGAAGGTGGCTTACTCAAAACAGTACACACGATCCGCGACTACTCCCATCTGCCTTTTGAACGAAACTTTGCCCATGTCGGCCATGAGTTTCTGACCAAGGATGATCTCGCGGAAGGGTTCGCATCATGGGCTGAGAAGTACAGGATAGTATGTTTATCGAAGCCATCGTCCCCGATTTCTTGCTAATCGACAAAGAATATATGGACCAGCAGTGAGCTACAATCCGGTACGTGGGACGACTCGCGCACACAATGGACCTTGAAGGTCAGACAGGCCATAGCGGATTCCGAAAACATCAAGGTCCTTACGTGCCGACATGTGGTGCTTGCCACTGGTGGACCGTGCAATAAGCCACACAAGCCTTTTTATCCTGGGGAAGAAAGATTCAAGGGAGTTGTCCAGCATTCGGTGAGCTATCGCAACGCATGGGACTGGAAAGGTCAACGAGGGGTCGTGGTTGGAACGGCCAACACTGGTGAGCAACCGAGAAAGTCATCACGGCATGTTGATGCTCACGTTGGAATACAGCCCATGATATCGCCGAAGATATGCTTGACGCTGGATTGGCATCGGTGACTATGGTCCAACGCAGTCGGACATGCCAGTGAAATGTTCTTCCCTCTATCCCGTTCATTGTATTGACTTTATACAGATGTGTTTCCTGAGGAGTACTTGACCAAAGTCTGGAAACGTACTTGACGCCTCACTTCGGAAGGTTCGGAGACATACTGACCCTTGATAGAAATTCTGAATGACCATACACCACTCGAGACATCTGATCGCACACTCTTCGCGGGGCCTTTGGCAGTAAGCCGCCTTACCACCATGGCTGCCTTAAACACCCAAGCAGAGGCAGAGCCTGAGCGGTTCGCAGCACTGGAGCGAGCTGGCTTCAGGACGGAACGCTACGGAGACCTCATTGGGCTTCTCAGCGAGCGCTTTGGTGGTCATTACATAGATGTTGGCGCCTCCGCAAAGATAGCACAGGGCTTGGTGAGCCGCCTTTCTAAGAAATGTCAGACGGCGCACTCATCGGCTCCAGATCAAGGTCAAGTCTGACAGCCGTCTGGTGTCGTACACTGAAGACGGTCTCATATTCGAGGATGGAACCCATCTGCCGGCCGATGTAATTATCTATGCCACTGGATTTACAGGAAACCTCCGCGACTCGGTACGAGAATATTTTGGCGATGAGATCTACGCGCAGGTGGAGGATTATTGGGGCATTAACCAGGAAGGCGAGCTCAAAGGCGCCTATGTACCCACCGGACGTATGTTTCTGGAAAGGTGCCTGCACTGGGTTCTGTCACTGGGACTGACCTGTAAACTACAGATCCCGGCCTGTGGTATGTGGGAGGAGGAATGGGCCAAGCTCGGTTTTTTGCTCGCTTTGTGGCGCTGCAAATCCTGGCGCATCTGCTTGGAAATCCGTTGCCAGTATACTCTGAGACACCAGTTGTTGAGGGAGGTTGACTCGAGGGCAGGACGAGTGGCATTTGAGGTGTTTCTTGTTTGTGAATTGACCAGACGGCAAGAGACATATATATTGGCGGAATGGCAAAAGTACTCTGTAGTGGCCTTCGCATTTTGTCTTCTTCCGTTAGCACTTTTAATTAGATAGATTGAAATATATCTGGAGATACCTGACTCAAGGGGTTCTACCAATTCTAGTGATATTGAGAAATTAAGCTCTCTTATTGATGGGAAT